ATCCATGATTTGCACAAAATAACCATCCTTTTAGTTTGATGCATGCTAAGCTATATTTGAATTATTTGTTTATAATTTATGAAATTTTACTATATTGTTAGCATTGGTAATTCATAGATAAATGTATTTATTATCAAAATGATTATTTTTTCTAAAAATTTTGCGGTATAAAACTTGACTTAAATTAACTTGATTTAAGATATATATATATATATATATATATATTTAATTAAATTTAATTCTAGGTTATTTAATAATACAAGTAAATTTTGAAATTTGAAAATTTTAAATCAATTGATTTAAAGTTATGAAAAAATTAATGTGAATAATAAAAAAAAAAAAATCAATTCGTAGAATCTTAAATGTGTGTAATTTTGATTATTAAAGTATCTAAAATCTTTAATTTAAATTTCAACAATTATTCAGTTTAATTATTAATTTAATCGAATAATTTAATTTAATTAAATTATTAATTTAGTTAAATTATCATTTAATATAATTCAAATTAATTATTAAATTAAAATATTAATTGAATTCTAATTTAAATTTTAGCTACAAAAAAGTTAATCACAATCATAATACATAAATTTAAGTTTAAGAAAAAAAAATTAAAGCAATTTGATTCAAAATTTAAATTGAGATTATAGTATTTAAATTTTGTGAATTGAATGAGAATTTTAACCTTCCATTAAAGTACTTAAGCCAAACAAAAATAAAAGAAGAATAATAAAATTTGAAAAAAGATAAGAACAAAATTTGTTATTAATGGTTAAATTTTAGAAACTCAAAGTGTTTAAACACATTTCCTCATTCATAATATTATTAGTGTATTTATAGGTTTTGATTAGAGTAAACTAAATGGCAAAAATACGGCTTCAATTATAACTATAAGCTTAAATATAATTATTTAATAATAAAAATTCAAATGTAATCCAGTAACAATATTTAACAAATATGTCATAACTTCAAAAAATCATAAAATATAAAAAAATAACTCTAAATCTAGTAATCTATATTAAAATATTTTTTAACTTTTTATACTAGATTGTTTAACTTTTTATTTTACAAAAAACATTTTTTAAAATAAAGAAAAATAAAAAATATATAATAATATTGTTCAGAAAAAAATGATTAATTCAATATTAAAACATTAAAATATGATTAATACTTATGTAAGATTTTGTGTAAATGCAAAATTATTCAATTATTAGTATTAAAGAATCTATTTAAATAAAAAATATATTTTATAACAGAAAAAAAATAAGCTTACTGAACATAAGAATTAGAGAATATCAATTAATATAGATAGAAGTTAGACTTTAACTTTATCTTAAATTTGAATCTCATTGTAGTCTTGAAAAATTAATTTGTTGAAGTTTAAACAAATTGGCAATTCAAAATTTTGTTTTAAATATAAATTTGATTCTTAGTAAACATTAGCATGGATAGAGTTTTTTACTTATTCAATTTTAACAATAATTTATATATTTGTTTCACAATGATTGACGGGGAAGATAGCGAATCAAAAGACTGAGCATAACGGTAGAGAGTGAAAACTGATCCCTTTGCGCGAGAACTTCATCCTCTTTTTCTTGCATATTTCATTTTTGTAGAGAGTTCCACTAAAACTACAGGCAATCTGGATTCGTAGAGATTTCACGTGGCAGTTCTTTCATGTCATGATCGCAACTTGCATTTTCTTTGCAACAGATGATGCACTATTCATTTCGAGAAATGAACAAAAGAATCAAAGTATACACACAAAAAAATTTCAATGCCACTGTTTGTAGCCAGCATTTGCAGTATAAACTGGTAAACAAGTTACAGAATATATGCCCTTCATCATATATGATAGGGCATTATCAGTCTGTAACATTTTTATTAAACCTTTAATATATTTTAATATAGTATCCAAAAAACATTAATAAACAAAACCTACTTTTTTTTTTATCTCCAAAAACAAACAAACTTAAATTTTGAAGTAGAAATAGATTAATCGTCTAGAGAGGTATTTATAAATGAAGCTAACTGTGACTATCATCCACAATGTAGAGTATATGTTTAGTGATTTATTTACTATTTACACTGCAAATGCTAAACACAAATCGTGGCATTAAAAAATTTGGTATGCATGCCTTTGTTCACTTTGAAATAACAATAACTACAAATGTATAGCGTGTTATAAAGGAAATGCAAGTTGCTACCGTAGCATAGAAGAACGGCCACATGAACTGTTCATCGCTAGTCAATCACTGTGCAAGAAGTACATAAATTATTGTTAAAAATTGAGTAACTAAAAAACTCTATCCAAGGCTAATCGTTTACTAAGAATGAAATTTAAATTAAAAACAAAATTTTGAATTGTAAATTTCTTTAAATAAAAATAAATAATATGATGATAAATTTAAAATAATAATAAAAATAATTTTAAATTTATTAAAAAATATATAAATATTTTTTAATTTTTAAAATATTAAAAAATTACAACTATTAATTTAAAAAAATACACAATATATTTCTAAATTTACAGATACAACATTTTTTTAGCCACAATATATTTAATTATATAAGTTGATCTATTCTAATTCTTATGTTGAGTAAACTTTTTTTTTTATCAAATTATATTTTTATTTATTTAAATCAAATTTTTAATTCTAATAATTGAATAATTTTATGTTTACAAAAAAACTTACATAGCATTAATCAAATTTTAATTCTATTTTTAATAATATTATATTTTTATTTATAGATTTTTAATTTAAAAATGTATTTTATGTATATATAAAATATAAATATTTATGTTATGAAAAATCAATTTTTACAGTACAGACAAATTTTTAAATCTGTCTTTAACTTATAGACGGATTTATAGATTGAAAAATTTGTTTATAAATTTACAGATGAATTTTTTATTTGTAAAACTATTTATAAATTTACAAACAAATTTTTTTGTCTACAATAAATATATTTATTACAAACAGATTTTATCATCTATAAAATTATAGATAGATTTTTTAATTTATAATAAATTAATTTATAACAATTATTTCGTTTATAGTTCTTATATTACTTTATCAAACACATCTTTTATTATTTTTTTTGTCTCATTATTACTTCTTTGAAATAACACTTTTCATTCTCAAACACTCTATTTCACTCACACTTCAACACTTTTTCTCCTTCAATTCCAACTTTGCTATCTCCTCACAACTCCACTTTTCTTTAATTTGACTCTCCTTCTTTCATTGTTTCTAAATCAACTGTAGATTTCAATCTCCTTTTGTAAGATATTCAAAATTGACACATTATCTTGTGTGGTACATCTGTAATAAAATATTTATAACAAATAAATACATATTTTACATCAAAAATAGAAAAATGAAACTAATTAAAAGTTAGAGTATAATACTAAAAACACAATGATGCAATTTGTTTTTGCAAAATGGAGGCTCGAACTAGTAGCAATGTGCAGAGAAGCAAAGATATTAGAGAGAGATCAAATAAAAAGAGGAAAATAGAGAAATGAGAAAGAAGAAGGAGAACATACGCTTTTATACTATTTTGCATATTACAGACAAAATTTTCTTTTATAAGTGCATTGATTAAACATGGTGTTTTATTAACTAATTTATAGATAAAAAAAATATATCTGTAACTCTATTCAATGAATATTGTGTTTCATTTATGCAGTTACAGACATATTAATATTGTGTTTTATTTGTGCAGTTACAGACATATTTTACTGTATGTAATTTGTTACTAGTATTTCTTGCTTTAGTTTCAAAATACAAATGAAAAAAAGAAATTTATATTACAAACAAAAAAAGAATCGGTATGTAAGATCCATCTGTAAAATTACAAATTAATTTTTTATTTATAAATCTGTCTATAAAATTATAAATAAATTTTTTTATTTATAAATTTGTCTGTAATATAAAAAAATTATTTATATTTATAGATAAATTTTATGGACAGATATTTTTTTATCTTTAATAAAGACAAATTTATAGAAAAATTTATGCAAAAATTTAAAATTTTAATTTTTTTAACTTTTTATCTATAAATTTATCTATATTAAAGAAAAAAATTATTTATAAAAATCTGTCAATAATTTACATATTTCTAGTATTGTTTGATTGCATGGATAAATTCCTATTCACCGCCAACAAAATGCAAAAATGAAGGTTTCATGCAGAATCAGCCAGTCTTTTGTTAATGCTTTGCCGCTTTCTTTCCATGAACATGTTTTGGAAATTTTAACGGTCATAAATTCTTTAATATTCGACAAATACTAAGTTGACTAGCTTTGTCAGTAACCAGTTACTTTCAGAAGGTAAATTTGGTGATTCTTTTAAAAGTTTGTAGACTGTAATACAATCAAAATTTTAACTAATAATAATGAATTACTATATTTATTATATTTTTCATATTTTTAATTTTATTATTATTAATATTTAATTATTATATTAATATATTATGTTATAATTTTTTATTTATAATAAAATAAAAAATTCAATATAATATATATATATATAATAGGATTATGTAATAAATAATATAATTTTAAATAAATTATATAAAATAATATATATTTGTAATAACTTATCATGTATTTTTTTTATTGGGATAAGTTTTTTAGATAAAATATCTATAAAAATGAATTTTTAAGAGCACACAACACAACAGTTTAAAAACCCACCTCTATAAATGTTATTGAACTCCATCTGTGCTCTCTACTTGTTATTTTATTCATTGACGTTAGTTTCCCAAGTATACTTCTATTTCTCTCTGGCAGGTTCACCGCTGAAAACAGACGTTTAAATCAGCATCTTTGTAGAAAGAAACGGTGAGTGGATAAAGATATACTCTTCATCTGAAAGTTGAGCTTTACTGAGCATCTGTAACCGCTTCACTCAGCTAATTTGTTTGCTTAAATCTCATTCCTTAACCCTTCTAAATATGGCTTTTTCAGTGCTCTAACTGAGTTCTACAGCGACTGAATGGAGGTTGGAGAAGCAGATAGAGAAAAGCTTCAGGTACAGGTTCCTTGGATCCCCACCACCCCTTTGAAGCCCATTCTTCCAAGACCAGGGCCGATCTTGGTTCACGGGGAGGGAAACCAGCTGGGCTCTCATTCCAATGAGGTACCTGCATGTTGGGAATCTTCAGCCTGTGCAGAGATAAGAGGCAGGCTTCACTATCGTTCAGAACCTCCGGCTGAAGCCTATGACAAAGCCGAAAGTTGCGTACGAAAGTCCTTCGGCCATATTTCCAGCCCAAGTAATGGCATTGCCGAACTTTTGGCTCAGGCGGATGCTCCATCGACGTATTCTATTGCAACACATGACGTGTGTTTGAAGAACCAATTTATTCCTACTTTTAAAACACAGTTCAATCCGACCTATGCATTACATAGCCACCATCATCTCTCTCGCGGGCAACCCGTGATCAATACAATCCATGACAAGTACCAAGATGTTCAGGGTAAGGGCAATAAATTTCGGTTTAAGCTCACGTTGCTTTATGGCATTATATTGAACATTTTCCTTTGACAACGGCTTCGCACATAATTGAGTAATAACGTTACGCATGCAAGTGACAGTAAAAACCATATACACAAAATTGAAATGTAACATTGAATATGACGTAGATGGGGATGGGAACCGTATAAGTAGATGTCTGACCTACATCATTATACATATTTATTCGTTGAATAGCATAATCCGACGGTTTCTACTTGCTTCAAGGATTGACCTTATCTAAGGCATACTATCTTTCCATATCTGTTTAATAATGTATTTTGAATATCTAAATTGGGACAATTTTTATTTGCTCTATAAAACCATTTCATTGACAGAACTAGGTTTCCACTTATATAAGTTTGCATGAGTTGTTTTATCTTTTATTATTATTATTTCAAATAACTTGATCAATATGGGGAGCATGATGCTATGTAAGCAAAACATCTACCATTTGCATGTGCAGCAAATTGTCTTTTCATTTCCTTCTAACACTCAATCAATGTGGCTCTAACTGGCATTTATACAATGTCATACAACAGGCACACCGTACTTTGCTTACTATAGCAAGACCACTCACATTGCCCCACCTACTCCAGATACTGCAACACCAATGAATAGGGAAGAAAGGGGTCAAGGTGTAGAAGAAAATGTCCCAGCCACAAAATACAATTATCCACACAAAGCTGCGGTTGCATCTACACCATGCAAGGAGAATCACAACCGCAATAAGGAACTAAGCCATGATATTGATCTGAATAAAGTACCTCAATCAAAAACAAAAAGAAAAAAGCACCGCCCCAAGGTCGTAATAGAAGGCAAACCCCAAAGAACTAGGAAGCCCGTCACCCCAAAGCCAGTTCAACCAAAAGAAAATCCAACTGGCACAAGAAAGTCCAGAAGGAAAGGATTGAACATGACTTCAACTCCTCAAACAGAGGTGAGAGAAGAATGGACTAAACCATTGATGCCTGAATCCACCATAAAGACATGTAGAAGGTCCATTAATTTTGACGTGGGAGAACAACCACCGAGAGATGACATTTCTACATGCAGAGAAATTGGTGTGGTGATTGAGGGAGCACAGGCTTTAAATAACTCCCTCTCAAAATCAGTAGCACAGTCAAGTCCAAAGGATTCCAACAGCAGTAACAGTGAAAGTTTGACCACAAGGTCAAGATTACATGTAAATGGTCCCAAGAGAAAACATTCCAGTACAATGGAACATGCAGCTAACAGCAGCATTAATCTGATCGGAGCACAGTATAATGCAGTGCAGGCGTACTGTCTGAAGAGTTGTGTTCAATTTCCAAATGTGCACAAGAAAAAAAGAACGGATAAGGGGAAATTTTCCTACACATCCAATACACCTTGCATGACAGCGACAAAAGATGTAGAAGTAGCAACATGCCCTCCAGAAGATGGTAAATCACATCCATCAAGTCGCAACTACCAGACTGCTGGTTCTGCATTCATCAGAGTCCCGGTGACAATTGAAGAGACAGAAAATATGCTTGATAAACCTCAATCATTAGGATTCAAGTTGTCTTCAGGGCAGAGGAGGTCAAGAGTCCCCGCCAGAATTCATGATTGCGCTTCATCAAACTTATTCAGAAGCTGTGATACCAAACTAGCACAGACTACAAAACAAGCGGGCAGTTCTGGCAGACAAACATTTGGGGTTGCAGAAAGACTGCAGACATGCGCTGATGCTTTATCTGCAGAGATGCAAGCATCGCTAACAAAAAAGAAACGAACTAAAAAGAGAACTATTCCTGTCAGTTCAGCATATTCTTGCACAGATGAAATGCAACAGCACAGTAAATTTGTGTTGGAAAATCAAGGCCAATATTTGCACAACTCATCAGGTATTTCAACTGAAACTTTGATTTTTGGGTCTATAACAGTATTTTTATGATATAGACCAAGAAGTTTCTCTTAATACTTTAAGCCATTGATGCAGATGCTGCTTCTGAAGAGATATGGAAAAACATACAAACTGTGGATGCTTTAACAGAGAGGTTTAGCCACCTAAGCATATGTAGAGAAGCCACAGAGCTTGTGCTGCATGAGCAGAATGCAATTGTCCCTTACGACCAGCAGAATGATAGTGGCACTATCATTCCCTTTAAGGGTCCACTTAATCCCATAAAAAAACAGCACCCACGACCTAAAGTTGACCTTGATGAGGACACTAATGGTGTGTGGAAGCTTCTGATGCTAGATATAAACAGTCATGGAATTGATGGAACAGATGAATTGAAGGCCAAATGGTGGGAAGAGGAAAGAAATGTGTTCCGTGGACGAGCAGACTCATTTATTGCACGGATGCATCTTGTACAAGGTATCATTCACTCATGCACCTAACACAATAAGATAAGGCTTAAACAAAGTTAAAGTAAAACACCAAATTATCAAAAACGAAAAAAAATTCACAAATTACCCAAAATTTTCTTCACCATTCTGCATCATTCAGTCACAAAATTCACATACTTGACAATACAACATATTCAACAGGAGACAGACGCTTTTCAAAATGGAAGGGATCAGTTGTGGATTCAGTGGTTGGAGTTTTCCTCACTCAAAATGTCGCTGATCATCTTTCCAGGTAGAAACTGCATGAGCTTAATTGCTGAGAAACATACAATTAAATAAATGATAGAACATTTTACCTTTTTTCTTTTCTGTTGACAGTTCTGCATTCATGTCCCTTGCTGCTCGATTTCCTCCAAGCAACAAGCACAAAACATACCACAAGGAAAGCAGAAGCTTGATAGTCACCGAACCACAAGTGCAAATTGTGGAACCAGAAGCAAATTCAACAGTGGATGAAAAAACATTGAATCAATCTGTTAATGAATTGGGTTCTATGCCAGTAGACATCATCAAGCATTCAGAAGACAGAGAAGCTGTTGACAGCAATGATTCCTGCAGAACTACTGGTGGCTTAATTAGCTTAACAGATGAATCAACTCAAAGACATATTAGAGAACATAGTCCAGTGGAGAGTGGACCAATTATTGCCGTGACTGAGGAAGGGCAAGAAAATCTATGTCATGGGGGCATTGGGAAAGCCTTAAATGATGTATTTTCATCCCAATGCTCTGCCGTTACATCTCAAATATCTGGAGATTGTTTCATTGATCAAAATCCTGAGAAGATACGATCATTCTCAGATAGCAACTCTACTGTAGAAGACAAGTCAAGCGCAGCCAAGCACAACCTTTTCAATAACAGAACATCTTTCAGCAAGCTTTTAGAAATGGCAAGTTCAACGATGTTGCATGAAGTTAACTGTCAGAGTGGCAAATCACTTGAGAATTTAAGAGACAAGTATGGTCAATCTTTAGGCATGAATATTGACAACTTGGCACAGAACTTGGAAAAATCAAATGTTTCTCAAGCTTCCTTAGAAGAATCAATCATCTCATGCAACGAATATACTTTGAAAATGACCCCAAACTCGGGACTACTTGAAGTTAATTGCTATGATCCTCTCAAAATAGAAGTCCCATCAACTAGCTCCTCAAAGAACAAAGATGAAAATGACAAAAGAGTTAATTTTCCAACAACAGAATCTGACAGCCATACTGCAATTACCCAGTCTCAAGGTATGCTATCTCAATTCCATCTTCAGTAACAAAGTAATCATAAGCATCTCATCACTTTACATGTTTCAGGACAAACTCAAGATACTAAGAAGAAAGCAAGGGAAATCAAAAAGAGCAAGAAAGGGTCTAGCTCTGTTAAACAAAAAAGAAGGAAGCGTGGAAAAAAGAAAAAGGCTAAATTTAATTGGGATAGTTTAAGAATACAAGCTCAAGCTACGGCAGGAAAGAGAGAAAAGACAGAAAACACCATGGACTCTTTGGACTGGGATGCTGTGAGACGTGCAGATGTCAACGAAATTGCTGATATAATCAAAGAAAGGGGCATGAACAATATGCTTGCTGAACGTATTAAGGTAGAATATAAAATCCATAAAATATTATTTATCTGCATTAACCAGAAAGAGAAAACCCTTCAATGCAGCTCTTGTCATATATGCAGAATTTCCTGAACCTATTGGTTGATGTACATGGGGCCATTGATCTTGAGTGGTTGAGAGATGTTCCACCTGATAAAGCAAAGTAAGTCCAGAGATTAGTTAAGCTACTACATTGAAATCATATTCATTGTATATATCATGTTAGCATGTCTTGACTGGATAGTTGGTGAATCCAACACTTGAGAGTCTGACATCTCCATTCACTAGTAACACTAATAGAAATTCACGCTCACACAAGCAGAAAAAAATGCATAATGTAAATTCAATTTATACCTGCAGAGAATACTTGCTCAGCGTGAAGGGATTGGGATTGAAAAGTGTAGAGTGCGTAAGACTCTTAACATTGCACCACCTTGCTTTTCCGGTAAGTTGAAAATAGAAAGTATGCAATTACACCAATATATGGAATATATATGAACTGTTATTGCCGTACAATAGGTGGATACAAATGTCGGACGGATAGCTGTACGACTGGGATGGGTACCGCTTCAGCCACTGCCCGAGTCACTACAGTTGCATCTTCTAGAATTGTACGTACTGCAGAAATGAATTGTATAAGGCAGTAATAATATGAGCTAACATTTTGGCATATATAGGTACCCAGTGTTGGAATCCATACAAAAATATCTCTGGCCCCGGCTCTGCAAGCTAGACCAAAGAACATTGTAATGATTTATTTTCAATTTAAAGTCATACATTAAAACAGAAGTATTCTTTTTTTTTTCTCTCTAAGTTTAGCAGATATAATTTATCCACATAATTTTATCAACAGACAATAAAAACGTCTAAAAAATATCATACAGTCATGCATAGCCACATCATTTAAAGAGTTTGACTATGATAGGTTGATAACAATTACCTGAGATGCCATACTCTGTAAATTATGTGGCAGTACATGATTTAATGATAGTGTAAATAATTTTTCTACTAACAGTTGATCAAAAGTTAAAAGTCTATATCTATTGACTATTTTCTGATGTTTGTTGCTATTTATTAAAGGTATGAGCTGCACTACCAACTGATTACATTTGGAAAGGTGAATTACATTTTCTCATACATTAGAGAGACTGGCCTTTCTTAAGCAAAATCCAGTTGTGATTGGGACAAAAACTAAATTTGATTCATGCAGGTCTTTTGTACTAAAAGCAAACCAAATTGCAATGCATGCCCAATGAGAGGAGAATGCAGACACTTTGCAAGTGCTTTCGCAAGGTATGTCTTAGATAAATTAAAATTTTTTGAACAAAAAAAAAATATAACAATGTTGAGCAATGCACCATTGCCCAGAACTGTTTTCTCACATGCATTAGAAATACTGCAACTACTATAGTAAGAAAGACACAGAGGGGGCCAAAACTATGCATGCAAGTTCATATATCCAATATTATTATGTTCAATACCTCCTATATTTATAGACAGTACTCAGAATTGCACTTATCTTTGTGAGAACAGTAAACTTAGAAACAAACTTATAAGAGCTAAAAACCATGCCAATACCACTTAGAAAATCAAATAATATGCAAGTATTGCAAGTTATGATAGATCAATTTACAAATAAATATTGTTAAATATTGTGTAGTGCAAGGCTTACTCTGCCAGGACCAGAGCAGAAGAGTATAACCATCACAACAGGAAAGAATGCAACTTATCAGAACCCATCAGTAGTTATCAGTCAGGTACCCTTCCCTCTACTTGAAAACACAAACCAAGCAGAAGAACTTCAACAAACCGAAGGGATCCAGCAACTAGAAGCAAAATCTGAAATCAATATCTGCCAACCTATTATTGAAGAACCAGCAAGTCCAGAGCCAGGATGCTCCCAAGTATCAGAAAATGATATAGAGGATGCCTGCTATGAGGAGTCATGCAAAATTCCCACCATCAAACTAGACATAGAAGAGTTCACTTTGAATTTACAAAATTACATGCAACAAAACATGGAACTTCAAGAAGGGGAAATGTCGAAGGCCATGGTTGCTCTAGATCCAGATGCTGCACGTATTCCTATGCCAAAGCTGAAGAATGCGAGCAGACTGCGTACAGAGCATTATGTGTAAGTAAAAAGTAGGACAATTAATGAAATTGGGGCAAAGGAAGTAATAAATACTAGAGAGGCAAGGACAGATAGGGATGGCAAATTGGGCCTGGCCCGGGCTGGCCTGCATAGTCCATTAAATTTGGTGGCCGGGCTGAGTGTTGTGGATCTACCGGCCCGCCTAGCCCATTACGTTTTAGCCCACTAAAATGCGGGCTAATGACAAGTTAGCATGAACCCAAATTTTATTTTTTAAAATAAAAAAATAATTAAATATTAATAAATATTAATTTTTATTAATATAAAAATATTATTTATTATTTATTATAATTTTTGGGTTAATTTTTAACGAGCTAACCTATTAATTTAATAACCTACTAATTTTTTAATTTTTTTTTAGTTTTTGACGAATTTGCTCGTTAGCGCACCAGGACATTCTTAAATAGGTTGAACTAGAAAATTGACCCATTTTTTGGCAGAGCGGGCCGGAGCAGGTGGACCGTTTTGACATCCCTAAGGACAGAAATAAGTAATATATGATTTTTGTTCTGTTAGTCAAGAATCACATTAACCTCAACGTGCAAAGAGTCACACCAATAGAACTTTCAGTACTTGGCAGAGCTCCAACCGGCATAACGAACAATCATTGTATGTTGTGAAAAACGTTAACAATTTATGCTGATCTTTTGTTCCCATTCATGCAGTTATGAACTCCCAGATTCACATTGTCTTTTGGAAGGGGTTAGTGATTGCTGAATCTGTTAATTGGTGCTTTTTTTTATGCTATATGCCCTTTCTTATTAGTTAGTTATGAATTGCAGTGGGACAAGCGAGAACCTGATGATCCAGGCACATACCTTCTAGCTATATGGACTCCAGGTGGACCACAAGATTTAGGCAAACTTGCCCTTTCTAGATAAATTTATATTGGTTTTGAAGTTTTTGTTGGCATTATATAGCATTACAAGTTGAAAGTTTTACAATACATAAATGCCTAATTTTCTGGTGTCTTCTAATTCATCTTGTCAAATACATTAATGTCTACAACAGGGGAGACTGCACATTCTATACAGCCACCAGAAAGAAAATGCAGCTCTCAGGACAGCGGCCAGCTTTGTAATGAGAAGGAGTGCTTTTCATGCAACAGTTTCCGTGAAGCAAATTCGCAAATAGTTAGAGGGACAATCCTGGTTTGACTGCTTAAAACCATAGACTCTATGAATTTTTATACATTATATTGCAAAAACAAAAGGGTTGCATTGGGAAGAAAATTGAATGTAAATGCACGTATTACATCTAATACACTGACTTGAAATAAATTATGAATAGATACCATGTCGAACAGCCATGAGAGGGAGCTTTCCACTAAATGGCACCTATTTCCAAGTCAATGAAGTATGATAGTGTGGAATTTCGTATCCTCAAATTTCTTTTCCTTTTATATACAAGTTTGTAAAAAGTACTAAAAACGTGCCATTTGAACCAGGTTTTTGCAGACCATGACTCGAGTCTTAACCCAATTAGTGTTCCCCGAAGTTGGATCTGGAACCTCAATAGGCGAACAGTATATTTTGGAACTTCCGTATCAACAATATTTAAAGGTAAACGCTTAAAAAAGGGTGTATTGTAAATTTGCAATACATATCAAACAATTAAGTTGAATATATGCTTTTTGTCAACCAGGTTTGTCCACACGTGATATTCAACAATGCTTTTGGAAAGGTAAGTTTGTAATTCCCATAATGTAATCTGCATATCACAATTGGATATCATAGTTCAACTTTTTATTATCAGGGCAATACCCATCACTAGTTTCCAGACACACTAAGAGACCAAAGGACTAAAAACTAACATCCTTGTACAACTTTTTTTGTATGTCACGATGGACACCACCATCATATGTTGCCAGTTATCTTTTTCTCTTTGGCTAAAATCTAATCTAAAGAAGGACAGTGGGAAGTAAGGCATTCCACAATATGTGCCCCACTGCCACTTCTATAATCACTACTTAAATTTGAATCTGTAACATGATTCAATAACTGTATGTAAACAAGGTCAGAAACATCACCATTCATATCAACTAGAAACGACTTCCGTCACAACTGATGTGAAAGATATGAAATACAGCCTAATTGTTTAGAACAAACTAACCCCGATAATAGTCTACCGCGAAAAAACAACTGACGACAAAACCTAACCTATCTAAGTATACGTTGGAAATGCTTTGCAGGATATGTCTGTTTGCGAGGATTTGACAGGGAAACGCGAGCACCCCGTCCTCTAATGGCTAGACTACATTTCCCTGCTAGCAAGTCGACTAAGAAGAAGGACAAGACCGTTTTCCCATCTAGCAAGTTGCCTGAGAAGGACGAGACCAAAAAACGGTCGACATCAGCAAACCCAAAAGGATCATACTTTAAAGCGAAAGCTAAAATTACTTTCGAAGATTCATAGCCTTCAGGAGACCGGAGGAGCCTGAAGAAAAATCACTGCAATTCATCCCGTTCTGTGTTTAATAACAAAGTCATTGTCGAGTGCTAACCAACTTTAAGCTCACCTTGCCATGCTCAGAGGCTGAGCAGTTTTCTCAGAGTAGGACTAGGACCAACAAATGTGCTCGTAACTTCATTAAGACTGAAGAGGAATGTGAACTAGATAAGTTGGGGCTACTTGTGTAAAAGTTGAGTTGTTCCCCAAACTCCAGCAGGGATACATTCATCAATATTCTTCTAGATTTGAATTTTATGTCTCTCAATTGAACAATTCTGTTTGCACACTATCAGATATTTCTCTGCTAACGATTCCCTTTCATTAGATTCAGAAAAATGCCATACTAAATAATTCCTTCAAATTCTGAATCTAAATGTCATTTTCATTCAACTTTTTCCTGACTCTTAAAAGACTACTAATGTCAGTACTGACCTATATTTATTGTTATTTATATTAACCAACGTACTTTAACTTATCACCATTTATTATTTAATATATATGCTACGTTAATTTCATCTTTATTTGAAATGTCTATTTTATCTTTTAAAATGAGTCAATGGCATCTTTAAATATTAAAAGTTGACTTCTCAACTATACTTTATTTATTTTATATATTATATAAATTTTATTTAAATATTTAATATTATATAAATTTTATTTTGTTAATTAGTTAAATCTGACTAAGGTTAGATTTAGGTCAAATAGACTTTTTGATAGCCCTATATATATTCAGTACATATGCTTATTAATGTGTATAAGTAAAATTTAATTAATATATTTAAATATAGTTAAAATTATTTAATAGTGTTAATTATTATATATATATATACATAAATCATTTAGATTATTAATTATTTATAATATAATATTTAAAATAAAACCATCTTAAAAAATATAAAATAATTCTATTTAGTTGGTGTACAATGAAAATAAAAAAGTTATGAGAAGGAAGAATCTTATACCTCAAGGCCAAATTGAACCATCAAAGCGAAAAAACTTTTTAGTGTGTAGACTATCAAAGCGAACAAAATTAATTAACAATAATATATAAAAAATAAAGTATAGTTTGAAGTCAAACTTTTAATAATTAACAATGGTATTAACCTATTTTAAAACAGAAAATACATAATTCAAATTATTTTGACGATGAAATTAATGTAACATATGCATTAAATAATAAATGGTGATAAGTTGAAGTACGTCGATTAATATAAATAACAATAAATATAAGTTGGCTTAAATTTTGTACATTAGGTGGAGGGAAGTTGAGTAAAAATGTTATTTATATATGAAAATAAAAAAAGCTAATATAAACTAGACAATCATAGATAATTATGAAGATGATTTTTTTAAAATGACATAATTTATGTATTCTATTTTTTTTTATTATAAAATTTAATGAGTTTATTTTTTCGTAAAAATTTCATTTATTTTATACATATCTCAAAGAGAATTTTTGTTAATTAAAAAATGGAAAAAAATTAACTTTAACTGTTAAAATTTATCAGAAAGATTCAAAAATAAAAATAAAAATATTTATTTAAAGATATATAAGTTATAACATTAAACTTTAAAATTTACACATTTTATAAATAAGCATCTTTAATTTTTATTTCATTTCATTTATTTTTAAAATTTTTTTACTATTGTTATAATAATAAATATGGAAAAAATTATGTTAAATACTAAGAGAAAAAAGTTTTACCGTCTACGGTGATCTTGTTTGACTAAAATATAATTATTTTTAATAAAAAATACTTATAGTCTAAAAAAAATTAACTTCTTAATAAACATGTGATTATCTTAAAATGATGTGTCAAAATATTATTCATTAATCTATTGAAATTTTAAGCATATTCTTATTTTTTTTATGTGTTTTAATAGATGCTAATAAGTTAAAAGAAAATACAATTAACTTCTGCAATCACGCTAATGCTGTAACAATGCTAAGGACCCTTATTAGCTAGAAAGCATGTGTACTTCAAAGCAGTAGTTTAATGTTGTAACTGTGTTGAATACTTATTTTTGGTAATATATTATATGATACTTTATTTTTTATATATATTTTTCTTTAATTTTTAATTTTTCTACTAATTGAAATATCAAAATAAATTTTAATATTTTTATACACTCACTTTTAAAACACGCAATAATTTTAAATTTCTATTCTATATTTCTATAATTTTTAAAATTTATCATAACATTATATTTATATCCCACACATCCTATCATCTTTTCAAGCTTATTAGCAACCATACTCAATATTCTACGACTGAAGCTCAAACCAAAGTACATCTTTTACCTTATTTTTGTTTGTATGCTATGCTAGTGCTAATGAATTCTCTTTCTTCTCTCTGCATGTGCTTCACCCTCATAACAATATTCATATTTAATAAGGGTATTAATTCAGAGCATTCAATAGTCATATAAAAATGCTATTAATAAACGTTTACTTTTTTATAATTTTAAAATGGAAGTAATAAACATTTTTATAATCTTAACTTGGTGTTTCTATTTTTGTATTCATGTAATGTCTAAGAAATGGTTTTTAATAAAATTTATGACTGATTGGGAGGCAATCTGTATAAAATAAGAGTTATATTGACAAAAAAAAATTATATAAAGAGATATATTTTTGGACACAAAAATAAAAGAGATTTCTTTATCCTACTAAATAAGCTTTAGGAGACACGAGCGCTCATGTTCTTTGTCTGTATAAGAATTAAATAAGTCATATTTACTTAATGTTCAGCAAAAAGGAACAAAGTAGAAAGAAAGAATATTAATTATAAAAAAAACAATACACTTATTTTTAACATATTCTCTTCTCATCTAAAAAAAATTGTGAATCTTACTAAATAAAAAATGAAACAAATAATTTAAAGATAAACTCCATGTCATTTAATCAAACTTGTAAAAACTTCACTTAATAAATTTTAATCTAATATAAAAAAGGTAAATTAACTATAGGTTTAATTAAACATTTAGTTTCTTAAAAATTCGTTTTAAATGTAATCTTAAAAAAAATTTATTAGGATATTGTTTGTAACTTTTTGAATCTGTTAAAAATTATTTTTAATTATTAGTTAAGTTCTCTTAAGTGATGAGTTGAATAATAGAAGTTAAACTTACCATTGCCATGTCATTAATATTTTATTTAATGGTTACTGTTACAAAAAAATCTCTAAAAAATTCATTTTATTTTAGAAAATTGATAAATAATTCAAATGTTTCTGTTTTTTTTTTTTAGCCTTCTTCTTTTTTCAACTGTCATTACCATTATCGGCATCTTTCTCACAAGTTGAGTGGTGAAGGAGAATGTACAATGATAAGTTTGGCTTGCTTTTTAGGTTTGCAAAAGTGCAAGAGTAATTGGGATTGGTGTTTTCAATAATGGAGGAAGGGGTATGATGTGTTTATTTTTTCTTAGCGATGATTACTTATTATTGGTAGCTAGTATGGGTCATAACGGTTTAGGGAATTGTTTTGGAAAGGTGGCTTGTGGCAATTCAAATGTGGTGGGTTTGTGGTGATTTTGATAGATAAGGTGCATTGATTTTTTCTATGTTTGGTTCCTCTAGAATGACTAATGTGCATTGTCATGTGTTCTTCCCACTTTCCCTTATTAATTTTAGAAGTGGTTGAAGACATTACCAGTAAGAGAGAGAAAAAGGAATTCAAACCTTTTTCAGTTCACACGGTAATTAGACGGTTCAGTTTAGTTTTTAATTAAGTGAATCTATATTCACTTAAGCACAAAACTAAAATTTATGCAAAATGAGTGAAAAATGGAGGAGGAGAAGCTAGGAAAGAAGACATGGGTAGTGCGGAGCTCAACTTACTAGTGGAGGTATGGCAGCTAGCGATGGAGAGAATGTTTAGGAAGTGAGTGAGGGTGGAAGAGATGGGATGTATAGATTCATTTTCGCTTAAATGAAATAAAACTGGATCATCTAATTTGCACGTAAACTGAAGCAAATCCATTTTTAGGAAAAAGAGACTAAATAGTCACATGAAATCCAAAATTTAAAAACGATCACAAATTCAAAATTAATTTTACGAGACAAGTTAAGGAAGTTAAATGTCAGTAAGAAAAAGTTAATATGTATGTTGCAACACTTAGTAGAGACGACACAAAAGAGACAACTACATTCAATGAAAAATAAGAATAGGTGAAGGTAAATGTGCATCACAACGTTGATGGAGACGCAACGCTCAATGTTCGGTGGTATACAATAAGATGAATTAGATTCACTCATTTGCTGTTTGAAAGAGCATGTTAAGTTTTCGCCTAAGTGAAAATCAAATTAGATCTAGATTCACTTATTTGTTGGTTGAAAGAGCATGTTAAGTTTTCCCTTGAGTGAAAATCAAACTAGATCATCTAGTTTTTGCAAAAATTGAAGGAGATCAATTTCCAGAAAAAGGACTCTAAATAGTAACACAAAATCCAAAATTTAAAAATAATTACAAATTTAAAATTATTTTTACGAGGCAAGTTAAGTAAGTTGAATGTCAATTATAAAAGTCATTAAATATGTTGCAACACATAGCAGAGATAGTGACTAAAGAGACAATTAAATTCAATAAAAAATAATTATAGGTGAACGCGTGTCACAATGTCGATAGAAATGCAACACTCAATGTTGGGTGGTGCACTGGAAAACAAATTAGATTCTCTCGTTTGTTGGTTAAAAGAGCAGGTTTATTTTCATTTAAGCGAAAATTAAATTAAATCGTCTAGTTTTTGGAAAAATTAAAGAAAATCAATTTTTAGAAAAAAGAGATTATATGGTAAAACAAAATCTAAAATTAAAAAATAATTACAAATTTAAAATTATTTTTACAAGCCAAGTTAAGTAAGTTGAATGTCAATTCAAAAAGTCAATAAATATAGTGCAACACATAATGGAGATAACTGACTATAGAAATAATTACATTTAATAAAACAATAATTATAAGTGAACTTTATCATAATATCAATAGAAACGCAACACTCAATAATAGGTAGTGCATAGACTAAATTCAGTCTAGCAGGAAAACTCTCAAAAAAATATGATAACAATAATGACAGAAAAAAAAGAAAAAGAAAAATAAACAAAAATATTAAATTAATTATGATTTTTTAAAATAACAAATATATTTTAAATACCTTTTTTCAATAATACGACCTTTAAATAATAATTAAGTACATATAATGTGACGTAGTAATAATGAGTTTAACTTCTTTCTATCATTTAATTTAACTAAATTTATAATAGAGATCAATTTTTAATAAATTTAAATAATTAAGAATTATATCTTAACAAAATGTTATATAAAGATTAAATTTAAAAGATGTGAGGGGATAATTTTTATATATGACAATTATTTATTTAAATATATATTTATTTTAGAGATATATTAAAAATATTTTCTAATTCACATTTTAGCCCTTAATTATTAAATAAAAATTAATAAAAATATGAATAAAAATCAATAAATTAAAAGAATTAATATAATTCAAATAACATTTAACTAGAAAGAACGTATAAAAAGAATATGATCCTAAATGTGAGGCTAAAATTTCACTTTATATCAAACAACCAAAAACTAACTTGTTTATATTGCCAAATTTACAATGGAGGTTCTATTTTAAAGAATCGGGTGACCACAATTTCCAAGGGTAAACAGGCCATAAAATTACTTAAACGCCACAATTTCCAAAACTTTCCTTCTTTTCAATTTCGAAAGTGTTGTATAGACGTTGATAAGGAATTTTTTTAGGGAAAAAAGAAAATTGATCATGCATTTATTTAACTTCTTTAGCTATTCACATAGTCGAAATTCATACATCATTTCCATCTAAATTACCCTCCACCACATATCCAACATTGCTCAATAACAGGTTATGAAACATTCATAGCTCAACTTTATCCAATTAAACACTAATCCCCCAGCACAAGGAAAACTCTCCGCTTTTTCCATATTTTTCTCCTTCCAGGATGCAGAACATTACACTTGAAGCGGAAAATTAAACTGTTATTGCTATGGATATTACAAAGTTCTATAACTAAATTGACAATTCGGAGTAAGATAATGATAATGACAACTAAAACCAATTAAACAGGAGCAAACTGCAAACAACACAAGCCAGATTACTTGCCACACTTGTTACAGGATTTTGGGCCAAATCACTATGTTGTTGCTATATCTGATGGTTATCAGATTCACTGCCATTTGGTGCAACACCCTGCTCTTGAGAATCATTGCTTTTTGTGCTGTTATTGTTACCAGAGTCCCCTAGTTCCTTCTCCCTGTTCCATTGCTCTATTTTAGCTCTCCTTTCTACACTACTTTCTCTGATGGGGCTTCTATCCCTGCCAGCCGGACTTCTACTTCGTTTTCCTCTATATCGAGGACTTCGGCTTCTAGGCCTCTTACCATGGTGTCCACGAGACCTGTCAAAATCTCTTCTCCCAGAATTACGACCAGAATGTGAACGCTCCTCATGGTTGCGATTCCTTGGTGGGCTCCTGCTTCTGCTTCCACTGCGGCCATTCCATCTCCTATTTCTTCCAAATAATCGCCTTCTCAAATCCCTGAAATTACAAGAGCAGGTTTTATGGCAAGAACAGCCAAATTGTAAAAGCAAGTGCAAGATACTGAAAAACATGAGAGGAAATATGCTGAGAGCTGAGAAGTCAACCTGCTAATCTTCTTTAGGTGCATAAAGTTGCAGTAGCCACCTCGATTGCATACATTTTCCTCATACTGCCTACAAGTGGCTTCTCGAAAATCCGTAACAGGTGAGAAGTCGGCAATGATGGGTCGACCTAGAAGGATCATTAGGTTAGAAGTTTCATATAATAACAAGTTACTGTTTGGGAATGGAGTTGAGTGAGAGCATCAAGCAATGATTCACTATGAACTTGCTATATAAAGCATTAATTTTCTTACCTATGATTATCTCCTGCTGCAATCATCATAACAGCTTAGTGTAATCACAAGCTATGAGTTATACAACACACATCTCATCTCATGCCAAACAAATCCCAGTTCAATAGTAATAAAAGTGTATATATCAACTTACGGTTGACACAGCAGAGAATATAAATCTCATACGTAAAATGGAAAAAGTACATCTAAAATTAGTCACCAACCAATTTTTTCTTATGGTAGAGATTCCCTAAACAAGTCTCTTTTCAACAATGGTGTGTAGAGCCTAAATCTTCATCCTAACTAAATGAAAAACCAGTAAAGACAAGATTAGACATTAGAAAGATAGACAAGATAAAAGAACAGCAACCATGTGAGACAGCACAAGGTACCTGGTCAAAACACATCTCATCAGATAAAGTTCAAAACTTCAACACAAGACTAAAAGAAGGGTTAAGAAAAGCGACTACTGTAAGGTAAACATATAGTTAACACCAAACCAGTAGAGAGACTTGAAAGCAATGTGAACATTAACTTCTCTTAACGTCATTACAAATAGCACTGTCCTCGCAATTAGTGTGCTTAGCTCAACATATTTTGAAGAAATAATCACTTATTTTGCAAACTTCTTAAGGAAGTTTTTCAAAAAATAAGGGGTTATTTCAGCAAAGTTAATCAATTCCAAACAAGCTATTTAATGAATTTGGACTAGGCCTAACTCAGCCCCAAAAGCTAGCTCTCTCGGTGCGGATTGCCTAAGCCTTTTCAATTTCTACGTAAGCTATATTTGTAGTCAACATATGAACTCTAAACACAATCAATTTGCAATTGTAAGAACTAATTAGAAACCACAAATAACAAGCAAATAGCGCAAACACTCAAGAACTCAACAGAAAGTGAAATAGTTAAAAACCCTAACCGAAGGAGAAAAGTGGGAAACAAAAAAACCTGAATAAAATCTTCCAGTGAGATTCATGAGCGCATTGGCAGCATGATCCTCCTCTCTAAACTGAACATACACATTTCCAACCTGCGCAAAAACAAAAAAGAAGAAGAAAAGAAAGAAATAAACGATCGAAGCAGAAAGAAACAAGATCAACGCCACGAGAAAGAAGGGAAGACAAAGAGGAAGAGGAACCATGTGATCGGCCAAATTATCGCAAATATTCAAGCTCTGAATTGGGCCGTACTTGCTGAGCTCCTCGAAGAGATCTTCGTAGAAGTCGTCGAAGTGATCCTGGACCTTGTCGGGGTCGAGGGATTGGGATTGGGGTTGAGGTTGATTAGGGTTTGTGATGATGTTGATGTTCATGTCGGGCCTCTGGTACATGTTGGAGAGAACCAGAGTTGGGCTAATTGTGGGCTTTGTGTGAAGCCTTGAACAACGGTCACCGTGCCTGCACGCGCCGATCTTGAAGTAGAAGGGACAGTTAACCCTGTCCTTCTCCGTTCCGAATATCGATGCCAAATGCTCCGCCATCTCTGATTCAATTAGGGTTAGGGTTTGTTTTTCACTACCCTGCGCCTTCTGCTCTCTAATTTCTCTCTTTTGACCCTTATATATGCTCCACGAGATATTCAAAATATCTCGTCTTGGGTTTGTTTGATTTCTTTAGGAAAGAAAAATAAGGTGATTTAATTAATTTAACTTTTTATTGTTATTTCGCTAGTTTGATTTTAATTATAAATTGAACATTAGAGTTTGAGATTTTAGGAATGTAATTGTGTTAAATTTTTAAAAAAACTTTATTACCGATTGTGATTTTATTTTACTCAAATTAGATTAATCAAATGTTTTATGTAATTTCCTACATTTAGACTAAAGAATATAAATTTAATTTCAAAATAAATATATACATTAAAAGTATTTATGTATTTTTGTTTGATTTGAGAAGGACAAAATGCATTTTTGTTATATAAATTTTTCAAATGCTCACTTGACCAACATGGCAATTTGAAGGATTTCCTGTAAAAGTCTCCTCCTGACGATAATTTGATTCGAGTTGAGTTGATTAGTATAAGAGGATAACAAATTTTCCAAATATTTATGTCTTTCATTTATAATCTATTTTAAAAATTTATAAACAACTTATAAAATAAATTTTTTTATAATTTTTTTAATTTATTTTAATAAATTTTTTGACGAGTTTCATAGTTAAATTTATAACCAATCTTAATATAAAAAATTATAAATAAGCACTTAAATAAGATTAGTATTCAATTAGTCCACCACAATATTTTACTTAAGAAAACCAAGGTATTTTCCACTTAGACCACTATTTATCTACAATTATTAGAGATTAACTTTTTTTTTCCTTTAAATTTTTCACCTCATCCAGTTAAAATATATAGTCAAAGTGTTCAATTGTACTAGGATAGCAGTCGTTGTGGTCTTTATCTATATACAAAGTTTGATTCATGAACTATGTATGAATTTTAATATGTATCTGTTCATGTCATTTTATCAGACAAAACTTAGATAAAACTTTTCAAGCATTTTTGCTGCTGTTAACTAATTAAAATAAAGTTTCAAGTAAAGGACAATTAACTCAATTAGTGAGAACTGACTTACGTATTTGTGGATCAAAATACCGGTTTTAGAGATGAGCATTACAGTAAGTCTTCCACACATGGCGTTTTCACGGCACAAAAAATTGTTTTCTGGAAACATTTTCCATTCGACACCCTAACACTTACCACATGCAAGAATGTTTTTTTTTAAAAGTACTTTATGCTTCTGTATGCTGTTGCCAATCTGATGTGCTCTGGGCTTATGGCCAGATCATTATTGTTTTATATAATTTTAATTTTCAGTGAAAACTTTTATCTAGGTTGAAGTTGCCAACTATCAAGTACCCAAGGCAGCATCAGCGGAAGACAGATTTCGAAAGAGAATATGAGAAACGCTGTATAAAGTGATGCACTGCTATACCATCCTAAGCTTTTATTATAGACCTATGAAAATATGACATTCCCAATGTGTTAACCACCTCCTGCTTGACATGGATCAAGACTAATTAACTCTTTACAACGACAACAAAGTGGGACCAAAAAAATACGGTCCACGCTTCAGGTAGAAATAGAGTTGAACCAGATATATTAAACAGACAATTGGATTACTTGCACTGATTCGATTAGCATTGGGAATATCACGGATCATGGAAAATTTTATGTAGCCAAGAGTACGATATTTGGCGATACCCAAGAAAATTGGAAAGAAATTGAAAGTAGGTTTCAAGTACTAAAACTAAGCATCACTAAAAAACCTTTTGTTTAGGGCACAACTGTTTTAGCCCTGTAAAACAGAACTACAAAATTATTGCAATAGTCTTCAAAACAAGACTAACGTTGTTCTAACTACCAACTTATTCATTACAAACATAAACCGCGATGCCAAATGCTATATAGCTCAAACTCGCGTCGATCTCTGGGTTGTTTCCACCTCAAAACTTAGTAGGGTTCAACAGGGGTACGGAAGTTTGCTCCAGCATACACTGCTTCCGCACCAAGCTCCTCCTCAATTCTCAAGAGCTGCCAAGTGAGAGCTCCAACCATTTAGAAAAAGGCATAACTATGAAGGCTGAAACTAGTGTAGTAGAGTTTAATGAACAACACTAACCTGGTTATATTTAGCAAGACGCTCAGACCTGCATGGAGCTCCAGTCTTAATTTGACCCTGTTCAAGAGAAAGGAAACATTTTATATTGGACATGGAACTTTGTGTATTAACAGCACAACGGTTGAACTGAAATAAGGGAATACCGTTGCCAAACCAACTGAAAGATCAGCAATGAAGGTATCCTCAGTCTCTCCACTGCAATTGACAAACAAGAAATATAAGTTCATAGTGCGACTAGGGTTGTTAAAGATTTTACAGTTGTAGACATTATATTGTGCTACTGTCATTTGCATATAAAGACAAAGCTCAAACCTTCGGTGACTTGCCATGACACCCCAACCAGCTTTTTTGGACATCCTGACAGCTTCAATACTCTCAGTCACGGATCCAATTTGATTGACCTGTTTGTTTCAAGTTTGTGTCAAGTAATGGTATATATGCACATCTACTTAGCTTCAAGAACTTTTCACTAGAAAAAATTTGTGTAGAATGAGAGTACCTTGAGCAGAAGAGCATTGCAAGCTTTAGAATCAATTGCCTTCTGAACCCTCTGTGGACAAAAATGCAAAAAGCAACTAGTCAAAGGATAATCCTTTTTTCAGTCTCTCCAACAAAATAAAAAAATTGGGGGAAGGAGTGGGGAGTCCTGTTTGATCAATCTGCAGACCTTGGGATTGGTAACCAAGAGATCATCACCAACAATTTGTACATTGGCTCCAACCTCACCAGTTAGCTTAGCATAGTGTTCCCAGTCATCCTGGTCAAAAGGATCTTCAATTGAAACAATTGGGTACCCTGACACAAATGACTTGTACAGGTCTTTCAAAGCATCCCCAGAGATCTTCTGTGATCCGTCATTGTTCTGCATATCAAACAGAAAACGCCCAGAAATAAATAAGCTAAATATGTAACATCCATTCCAATGACCACCTAAGAACATAACACTACTTGGAGCTTACATCTTCCTTGAAGTTCAAATCATATGTTTTGTCTTCTTTGTAGAATTCAGATGCTGCAACATCCATTCCAATGACAACCTAAGAACATAACAGAAATTGTCAAAGTCCCATAAATGAAGACATTTGAAAAGCCAAAGCACCATAAACAGATTTTTTATAGGAGGGAGAAAACTAACTTTGCCTGTGTAACCAGCTTTGGCGATGGCAGTTTTCAGCAATTCCAAACCTTCCTTGTTTTCCTGAACACTCAAAAGAGCCTATCAGTAACTGGCAGAAAGATGAGCAGGTACCACAGTTCCTTGCATGAAAAAGAAATGAGCTAAAAACCATTACTGACCTGAATGTTAGGGGCAAAGCCACCTTCATCACCAACATTTACTGCATCTTGACCGTATTTCTTCTTAATCACAGACTGAAATGAGATTAAACCATCAATAATAACTAAAATGCAGAAGTACAGCTCCACATTCAAGCTGATGAACCATGAAGGTATAGAAGCATTCATGGATAGACAACAGGCCCAACAGGTCGTGATACAGAAACCTTTTATAAGCTAAGTTTCCAGTAAAAGCACCCACTTAATAGTGGTAAAAACCAAAGCTTAGCAACCATATAATGAAGATGTATCCATTGGAGTGTTATCCTAGTTTGACAAAATTTAGAAAACACAATTGGAAAATGTAAATGAATGTAACATTTAAACTGACCTTCAAATTGTGATATACTTCCACACCCATCTTCATGGCTTCCTTGAAAGAGGAAGCTCCCACAGGAAGCACCATAAACTCCTGCATTTACATACAAATCAGAAACTCATATTGCATTACTTCTCTCTCTCTCTCTCCCTCTCTCTCTCTCTCTCTCTCACACACACACACACACACACAAAAACAAACAAAGAAGATCAGTCTTAGAAAGCATGCCTGCATAGCAAGTTTGTTTCCTGCATGTGACCCACCATTAATGACATTGAAAGCAGGAACAGGCAAAACCAACTTTTTGTTACCCGCAAGATTTGCAATGTGCTGCAACAAAAAAATAGCCACAGTGAAATCAGATATATGCAAACACCTGAAAACCTCGAGCCAAAAGGCATACAACTGCAGTGTGTTTGTGAATGAGTTGGGGGTACAGGGATCTGTTGACACTTCTATAAGAAGTGGCAAACATGCACCATTGCAAATAATAACCCATCAAAAGAGAATGATTTTAATCAATTGACAGTGAGATTACACGTAGTTATCATGATAATCTTGAATACTGAATTTCATTAATTTTAGATGATTATAAGTAAGTCGTCAAACAGCAGATATACAATTACACAAGAAGGATCCAATGAACAATTTCAATTTGAGATAATTAAGCACCACAGTTCATGTATAAAATACCTTGTAAAGAGGAATTTTCAGGACACTGGCACCAGCTTTGCAGACTGCAAGAGACACTGCCAATATGGCATTTGCTCCAAGCTAAAACAACAAAAGTTGCATTAGAATAATAAGAATCACATTAAAAATCCAAATTTCCAAACATAGTCAGCTAAGCACCTTTTGCTTGCACCATCCCCATTCATTAACAGTTCCATCAAGTTGTTGAACCATCAAATTGTCAATAGCTGTCTGCTGAGTTGGATCCTGCTCATTGTCACAAATGCAACATAAAAAATTAGAAAATCCGTGAATCTTTAGTATTAGAACTGAACTAAAATACAGTGTAAAATAAATTTAACTAACCTTGCCAATCAATGCTGGTGCAATAATGGTGTTCACATTGCCAACAGCCTGCAAGTGCAAGAGAAGACCAGGTAAGCATAATAAACTGAACAAATCAATCAGTATGACGACCTTTTACACTGTTTAGTGTAATAACACGAGGCTTACCTTTGATACACCCTTTCCAAGGTAGTCAGATCCTCCATCTCTTAATTCAAGGGCCTCATAAATCCCTTTAAATTAACAAAAGAATCAGATTGTTTCATAGGACTAGTTGAAACAAACTACCATCAACAAATGGACAGTATATGTGAAAAACATCCTAAATTTTCTTTGAAAAATTTAAACCATCGGAGCTATTTCAGAAACTTTCCCAAAATTAAAGACAACATATTCATCCCTACACTCCACATGCAACAAACAAACAAAAAAAAGCAACGCATTGGAATATTTGAAAAAAAAGCTATGAAAAACAAAACGAAACAAACAAAATGCAATGGTTAATCCAACTTAAGAGAAATGAGTGAAGTATACCAGTGGATGCACCACTTGGAACAGCAGCTCTAGCGAAAGTACCGTCCGAGCATGTCAAATCTACCTATAGTCATCATCAACCATGTCATAAACATTTCAGAATAAATCAACCAACAAAACACCTCGTCAGATTCAAATTCATCTTAAAAAATAGAAACAACATGAGTGTGAAATAAAATCTACCAATAAATATATAAATAAAAATACCGTGAAGGTGTGGAATTATAATACTAACAAAGAAGAAACATGGAAAGTGAGGGGAGGGGGGACAGATCGGATAGAAACATAGAAAGTATCGAAACGGAATAAGAGGTAGCAAACCTCGACGGTTGGATTGCCACGACTGTCGAAGATCTGGCGTGCCTTGATGCTTGTGATGGTGGCCATGGACAGTGATGCAACTGAGATCTGTAATGAAAAGAGAAGGACAAGTGGTTGTGGGCAATGTAGAACAAAAAGATGTGGCGATTCTTAGGAAACCCAGACACAGGAGTGGGGTTATTTATAAGTCCTATACAGCCTCCCTCGCTTTTAGGTTTACAAAACTTAATCATCATGTGATGTCTTGCTTTGTCACATGATACTAACTTCCCTCTTTAAGGAAAAACAAAATGTGCATATCTTAATTATTTATTTTTATGGCGTTGTGTATTCATATTATTTAGTTTCTTGTTTTGGAAAAATAGTTAATTGGAAATAAGTATTTCATTTTGATTTTTGCTAAATAAAATATTTTAGATGTGAAAATGAATTGATTCAAGTATATATTTAGTGTGTTTGATTAGTTGACTTTATTAAAAAGTTTGAGAATAGAATGGTTGGTTATGAAAAAAAGGGAAAATAGAATTGACTCCTCTCTATATGTATTCATAAATGGGATATTTTTAATAAGTTCCCTTTTCGAGAGATTTTATTTTATGTGATAACCTTTTTTTTTCGTTCGGAAGTTTTCATGTGTGATAATGCTGAAAATTTTATTTTCTTGAAGCTAATCCAGGGAGTCCTGAAAAATGCCCCGAGGTATTTTATTAAATGGTTTTCTTTTTACAGCTTTTTTATCTCAATTTATAAAATCATATATTTTTTGTTTTTTAATATTTTTCTCCATAACACAAGTATTATTACGAAAAATATCAATAGGGAGAGAGCAGTTCAAGAAACAAATTTAACTTTTTTATTTTTTATATTTTTATTTAAATAATTTATTTTTTAAAATAAAAATAAAATTAGACGTTTATTTTCCATCACAGAAAAAAATACATATTCTAAAACTTCTAACTTACTGATATTTGAATATTAATTGAACAAATAGTTCTCCGTTAATTGAATGGATTGGTAAAGATGCATGCACCCCGTCTGAGAAGTCATACTTAAACACGCTCGACGGTAGAGCATAAGAACATCTCGTCCAGAAAGTGACTCGAGCCAAGACTAATTTTAATTTTAAAATCTATTCAAGCTTAACACATTGATATCAATTTTTAAATGAAATATACCTTTTTTTCTATAATTAAGCTCAAATTTACAGCAACAAAATTTTAATACTTCACATATATTAAAATAAACTTAATGATACTAATTTTAGCGAACAAAAATAGACAACAAAAAAAATACTGCGATGCGCTAAATTGAAACATTAATTTGTAGTATTTACTATTTAATATGTTGATGGGTTGACGTTATTTTCTTGAACCTGCTCACAATGTGCTGAAAATACAATCACGTTTTTGTTTTGCTATTCGGTTTGCTTGATTCCCAAGAAAAAGTGGGCACTTGCAGCCAAAATTTTAATAATTTTAATTAATAAATTTATAATTCAAACAAATTTTAACTAGCAATAAAAAATATATTGTTTTGCATGCAGCATATTCATAGAGAGGAACAGAACTTAAACGAGGACATGCTTATGAATGACCTTTTAAATAGGAATATAAATAATTTTTAAGTTCTTTTAATCATTAAAAACAATGAGTTATAATTTAAAAAATAAGTGAAATTAAATATATATATATATATATATATATATATAATATGTTGATTATAAGTATTGTTTTATTCTTTTAATAAGAAATGATATTACCTCTTAATAATTATTATCAAATTAGGTTGTGAATATAAAATTATAAATATTCAAATTTAACTATATAGTGACGTCAATAATACTGCTCATAATATAATCAAACATGGATGATATTTATTTAACTTAAAATTATCTACCTAGTACTTTACCTCTAATATATGTGATGAATCATATGTTATATTATCAAAATAGTTAAAATATATATAATTTTATGTTATTATCTTTATTTATAAGATTAAAATAAAATAGTTTGTTATTAAACATTAAATAAACAACAGATTTAAGTTTTTAAAAGATTATTTTAGTGTTTTAATCAATGTAAAAAAAAACTTTTAATTTTTTAAAACCAGTTATTAAGGTAGATAAAACTTTTTTGATATTATTGATTATAACAACACAAGATGGTAATAATTATGTTATTTTACTAATTTTTATTATTATTAAAGGAAAAACTCTGTTAGCATATGAATGATTTTTTGGCATTGATGCCTATAATAACAAATACATGATTATGTTTTATATTTAATAGGCATCAAAATATTAAAAATATTGTTTTAAACCTAAATAACAGCTTCTAAATATATATCATGTTTATTGTATTTGTCATGTTGCAAGCAAATTCAACCATGGTTTAAAAATATTGAGTTGAAAATGGAACTTACAAAAATTTAGATGAAATGGTTTCGACAATAGGTGGTAATTTATGACAAACTATGGTTGGTTCTGACGAACTATGACAGTTTCTTTGTATTTTAGGCAAGTTGATAGTACTTTTTGTCAACTCTTAAGATTTGACTAAAAAAGGCAATACAACACAAAGATCGAAACCTCAAAATGCAAGTCAATGTAGGTTGTTCTTTTACTGTTGTAATAGGTGACGGCAAGACGATTTTGTAACGTTAATTGGTGAGGAGGAAAAATAAGCAAATTGCGCACTCACAAAAAAGAAGCAATTATCAACAACAAAGAAGGAAATAGTAGGGATAAAGGAAGAGATGGAGGTGGAAGGGAAAAACATTAGGAGAATGAGGAAACCAAAAGCAGATAAAAGAGAGGAATGAAAGAAAAAGTCCAACATAATGATTGTTGATGGTAAAAATATGTTGATCAATTAACTGTTTTTGTCTCTAATAAAGACAAAATTGTAGTTTTGTCATTATTAAAAATAAAACAATTTCATTGGTCCATAAATAAAATTAGACGATAATTACAAAAATTTAATTTTGAATTTGTTAGTTTCGTCAATGTTAGAGATGAAGCATATTAGTTTTTTTTAGTTTTATCTTGTTGAGAGATGAAATTAATAAATGTAAATAAAAAAATAATCTTTTATAAATACAAACATTATTTTATATGACAAAAAAATCTTTAGACAAAAAAATTATTTTGTTTAATATTTATTTTGATAATTTATTTTTTTAAATTATTAAAAATAATAAAGTTAAATAAAGTGATATATATATATATATATTACTGTAAGTTTAAAAAATTTTACATACTAACTAAATTTTTTTATTTAATTTATATCTAATAAATTGTAATTTATTATTTCACTTATCATTAAATATAAATTAAATAAAAAGTTTTAATAAAATACTTTTTATATATATATATACATATATTATGAAGGATGATTTTAAGATGGTGGTGGCCTAAATCTTCATTTCCTTTTCTCTTGCAATAAAGTCGCCTTTGTATTTTTTTTTTGTCAAATTAAAACGGTCGCTTTCAGATGTATAATCGAATTCGAATATTGCGAGGAATATTGACAATCGTGTTGCAGATACCACAGCATACTCATAATTCCGCAGACTTACATTATTTAAACATCAAATTTTGAATATTATACTAAAGAGTAAACCGTCAATTTAACTCTTATTTTTTTTTATTCATTTCTAAATTAAGCTAAGTAAAACGATATTTTAGTTTTTAACATATTTCATTGTTAATCATTTTACCTTTTGTTTCAAAAATATATTAAAATAATTAATAATTCAATAAAATGTCATTTTAATCATAAATACATATAATTATTAATTATTTTATTTGTTAACATATTAAATATTAATTAATTATTGATATGTTGTAAAATTTATTTTTTCAAATTCATTAATTTAATTTTTAATGACCTGTAAATTTAAAATTTTATGAAAATTAAATTAATCAATTAAATAATTTTTAAGTTATTGTTAAATATTATATATTATATTATATAAAGCTATCTTATATATATTTGGTACTGATTCATATATTAAATGTTTTTCAATCTCTTAATTTGCTTCTAAATTGAATTACTGATACGACTACTATAAACCAGTCTTAACAAAAATAGATGTCACAAACAAGTCAGCAACACGTGAAAAATAAATAGACCTTCACATCTGTTTTATAATAATAATAATTGTGTAGTGCGCGTGTTCTTAAACCTGACTTGATTGCCTCTGAAGAACGACGAACATTGCAGCGTGCGTTTCTCCGTCATTACACATCCCTGTTATACATAACTTATGTTGGGTCATTGATATTATACATTAACATGATTCTTATAGTTTATTTACATAGTTATATATTTATTTATTACATGTAAAAGTCAAATTTTTTATTTATTTTTTATTTTAACAATATTTATTCTATATAAATATATATAATTATGCATGCAACACGAAAAATTAAATATTTTAATTAAAAAATATTTTTCACATTTAAAGAATAAAAAATTGTTAGGTATTTTTTTGTTTTTACTTGATTGTCTAATTTCTATTTTTATTTTAGTTTGGCTCTCAAACATTTTAATTTCATGATGATCTTTTAGATTTTTATCTTTGCTTTGATTTTATTTTTTAAATAAAATCATTAAAAACAAAAATTTAAAACTAAATAAAATTAAACGACAAAAATATTAACTTTGCGTAAAATTTATATACTGGATATTTGTTTTTGGGCGATGGCCCATTGGGTCGAGGAGCACAAATTAAACTTTTATTGGATGCTCAGAACAAAACACATAAACGACAAATTGTTTTTTTAACAAAATAAAATTAAAAATATCCAGTATACAGAAGATGACAAAAATTAAAAAAATAAAAATAAAAATGCAGAAGATGACAAAAAAACTAAACCAGAATACAGAAGAATGGCCGAATTCAAAATACAGAAGATGACAAGAGAAAAAAATATCAAATTACGGGAGAAAGCCGAAAGCCGTGGAATATATCACAAGAAAATAAATATAAAGGGACCGACGCTTTGTTGCCAATAGTTAAATGAATAAATGAGTTGATTTATTTATAATTTTTTTAGTTTGGTTAGATAAATATTTAATTAGAACTGTTGTTTACGTAATTTTTAATTTAAAAATAGGTTCAATTATTTAAAGCTGAATTTAATTTTCTATGGCTTAACATGAATAATTTGATAGCAATTTACCGATATTTGAATTGTTTAATTAATCATGGTTATTATTATTTTCTTATATGTGTATATATGAGTACTTTATTAATTTTAAATTTAAAAAATAATAAATTTTATAAACTTACAAAAATTGACTACTTTTATAAAAAATATTTTTAAAAAATAAATTATATTTATAAATATAACACTAAATTTTAGTATTAATTTATTCAACTTTTAAATATAAATATATTAATTAAATATTACATTAATAAATATTCTTTAAGTTTAACTTCTTTTTCTGTCTCAAAATGGTACATCATATTCTTTTTTTTTTTGCTGACAACCCAAATTAATAAATAAGAAATAAATCAATTTATAATTGAAATAAATTAAATTAAAGCCTTTAAATTTAGCTCATTGAACAAAATTAAATTTAAAAGCTTTTTTTTTCTTGTGATTTGAACTTTAAAAAGTTATTTTCACCCTACCGGTACCCAACCTCGACGATGACGATGAAAATGATTATAAAAACATCAAGAGCTACTCTCCACTCTCTAACTCATTTATTTTCACCTAATCCTTCTGTCATTTTAATTCCTATTTAAAATGCATTTATTAGTACGAAGTACACACTTTATGCAAATATATATATATATATATATATATATATATATATTAACATTATATAATTTAAGATATGCTAACTTCTGATTTGTAGGTAAGACATGCTAACCAGTATATCTATTTAGAGTATTATTCATATATATTTTTTAACATTTACAGGTGCTTTCTATTTATTACATTTATTTTTACATATTTTTTTCTTTATATCTCACATCTTTACTAAAAAAAAGGTGTAGCCATTATTCAATGTCTCTTGCGAATTTCATGTTTAAAAATATTAAATTAATCCCATTAAACATTTTAAATAATTTTAATAAAACAACAATAAATACTCTTAAATTATTGAATAACATTTAAAAAAAATAGATTAATAAGAATGAGAATTAAGAAGGATGCGACCTGGCAGAAAGTGAAGCACCCATGTAGCTAGCCTAGTTTTGGGCTGACGCAAGATCCTTGTCCACGCTCTTCATTCTCAACCCAACCCAACCCAAATCAAACCAAACCAAAACCATTCATTCATATTCATTCATTCAGCAGCACGACCACACTCTCTGCAATTCGCCATGGCCGCATCTATCACCCTCTCCAAATTCCTCGCTTCCACCACATTCACTTCATCTCTCTTCCCACCTAAAACCCTGCCGTCGAAACTCCCTCTCACCCTCAAACTCACCAATCGCCGCCACCCAAAGCCTTTCAGGTTCTCCACCATCTCCGCCGCCATCGGCGTCGGTGACAAGCTCCCCGAAGCCACCTTCTCCTACCTGGACTCCGACGGCGAGGTCAAGACCACCACCGTGTCGGAACTAACGAAGGGGAAGAAGGCGGTGCTGTTCGCGGTGCCAGGCGCATTCACTCCCACGTGCTCGCAGAAGCACGTGCCGGGCTTCGTGGAGAAGTCGGGGGAGCTTAGGGCGAAAGGCGTGGACACCATTGCGTGCGTTTCGGTGAACGATGCGTTTGTGATGAAGGCGTGGAAGGAGCACCTCAAGGTTAACGACGAGGTTCTCTTGTTGTCAGACGGTAACGGAACGTTCACCAGAGCCATTGGGTGTGAGCTGGATTTGAGCGACAAGCCGGTAGGGTTGGGCGTTAGGTCACGGCGTTACGCGCTCTTGGCTGAGGATGGGGTTGTTAAGCTCTTCAATTTGGAGGAAGGCGGTGCCTTCACTTTCAGCAGTGCTGATGATATCCTCAAAGTACTTTGAATTCTTCTTGTAATTTTTCTTACGTTCTCTCCGGATTTCGTTTTATGCCTAGACGAGTTGCTTTAAGAAAACAAAAATGGGTTGAGGGTTAGATTAGGTTTCTTAGTTTTGGTTCTCTTAATAATGTGGATGGGTTGGACCTGTCTGTGGTGGTTTGTTTGCACTTTGCATGGTAAATTATATTTTGTTCTTTAAGTTGAAAGAAAAATTGGAGTGATTGATGGAAATGGAACTATGCTGGGCTAGTTTATAATGCTAAGTGGTTGATAATTAAAGCGTTACTTCATCTAGTGAGACAGCTTAATTATTCTATGTCACATGAAACTTCAGTAAGTGGTAATCTTTGTTAGGAAGTATATGGCCAGGACCCTACCGTTTTCACTTTCCATTACCCGGTTTTGTACCTATGCCATCTCCGTTTTAAGTGTTTCCAATTTCTTGATCCTCCAATTTTGAGCAAATCCCTCCATGGCATTGGGCTCTCCACTTCAGGGCTCAGCAGGATATGGCACCTTGTGCAAGTTGACCATTTTTTAAAGAAAGGGTAAATCAGAAATCTATTGAAGCATCATTGAAAGACCCCCTGTTTCATGAAAATCGTTTAATTTCCAAGTTCCTGTCCGTTGGTTAGTATTTACCATACAGTGACACTGATATGATCTCTAAGCTTTAGGTTGTGCGATGCTTCTTGGTGGTGAGAAAACGGTAATCATATCAGGACTAGTCACCTCTCAGAATACGAGGTGGCTTAGTTCTTTTGTCCGTAATTTGGAAACACCAAGACAAGCTAGTAATCTAGACAAAGCTTCACTTTCTTTGTTTAAATCGTAATAATGACGGGAAATTGGGATGTGTTGTTGTCATGAAACGCTTTGTTTTTTTTTTTTTAAAGATGCTTCTTTTAAATTTAAGCTAGATACAGTCATATAGAACATATACAAAGCAAATGATATCGTAGTTTAGTTGTTAGCACAGATCAGTTTTCAAAGACGTTATAAATGCATTTTTAGAATTTTCCGATCTTTACGTTGTGTTCTTGCCGATTGACAACTCTTGAAATATTTATTATAACACGTTCTAATCAATTTAAATAACGAACTATTTTTATCCATAAGTTAGCGTTTAACAGATAAAGTAAAAGGCATTTATATCTACTTGAAACTAAATACTAACATGTAAAAATGGATGGACGAAAAAAAAATCTTAACGTCAGAAAGGAACAGATTTGTTCCCTTCCAATGCGTACAACAAGGTTGTCTAATCAAAATCCAATTAAATAATGTTTACAAGACAGCCTAACCTCCAGCAACCATCAGGTTCACAACCCTTTTAGTTAATCTTGCCTATTGAAATCTACTTTAACACAGTCAATTTATGTAATGAGTCAGTCAGGTCTACCTATTCAAGCTCAAGTTGTGCGCAGTTCAACGGTTCCTATGGTAATAATCCCTACAAAATTGTACGCCATTTCACAACGCAAAAGAATATGTGAAACACAAGCATTGGTTATTCTCTTTGGTGGCATTTTCTTTTAATCCTCGTCATATTCGGGCACGATTGCGACAGACGGCTAAGTGTGTGTGCTGAAAATTTATTAGTATTTGTTCCTTTTTGGCAAATCCTGGTAGAATTTCGGCCTCACAACCAACCATCAACAATGACATCCAGCTAGCAAATGCACGGTCCTTAATCTAGTGATGAAGACCAACGATATTTCTTTGGAATTGATATTGTAAGCAGAACTGATGAAGACCTACGATTTTTCTTTGAAGTTGATATTGATGAAAACCACCCTCAAACATGTCCCTGCACCAAAAAATACGCTCCATTGAGATCTTGGAAGTTGCAAAGTACCCTGGCATGCATGTATATGCGTATAAGCTTCTGGACATGGCCCTTTAATTAGCATATCATCGATGAAATGTTTTACGAATCACTTGAATAAAATTTTGTGCACATGATTAACAAATGCTATTTTTTTCAATAGAAAAAAGTGATATCAAGCTTCGGTGTGTTTGTATAGTTGATTTCAGAATCAGGGGTGTTACTTATAACTCGTAAGAATCAAATGGGAATATCCCCCAATAATAAGAGTATGTATTTCTTTTTAAAATTGACTCGCATAAAGTATAAACAAACAACAATATAAGCATGTCTTTAAAGAGTAGTTTGTTGTAAAAATCACTAAATTTGGTGCTTAGGATAAGTTCTTATAAATTGAAAAAAGGTTAAAAAGAAAACTTATAAGTGTCATAAGCCTAAATAAAGTTCTCTAGAAACTCTTTCAAACGTCCCTTAAAATTATCAAAAACATAAAATTATGGAGAATTGTGAATAAACACGTAGGATTTTTAATAGTCTTACCATTTTGAGGTTGTGGTTATTTAACTTCTCTGCCCTGGGTCTCTGACCTCATCGCTCTTCCAAAGGTAATTTTTGAAAAGGTAGAACATGCGGACTACAGACCCTATCATATCTGGCACTTGTCTTTCTTTTCCAATCACGTTCATTGGACACTGGGGCAATGGCCTTGTCAGTCCTCTAGTTGTTTAGTTCAGTGTTACTCATTTCTGTGGATACAATTTGGGCCTCTCGCAGCATTCCCTCCTCTTTTAGCCCGGATATCAGCTGGTAGCAGATGCGGGCATTCAAAACAAAACCCCTGTCAAACATTTCCCGATACCAGAAATATGCACCACTGAAATCTTTTAAGTCGCAATGTCCCTTAACCAGTATGTTATACGTATCAACTTTTGGAACCAGTCCTTTAGCCTTCATATCATCGACAAGATGCTTTAGTTCTGAAACGCGTCTTTCTCTAAGGTATGCTAGAATCAAGCAGTTGTAAGTCACCTTGTCAGAGTCAACTCCCTGATCAACCATCTGTTGGTGCAAGGACATTGCCTTCTGAACATTTCCATCTTCCGCATAACAGTAAATCATTTCATTATATACAACTCGATTGGGAACCAAATCCATTTGTAACATTTCTTGAAACATTCTCTCCATTGTCACCACACCTTCCTTCCTGCATGCATAGATCAAAGGGTGAAAAGTTCCAATTGTAGGTTTTACGCCTAGTGTCTTCATATTGTCATACAATTCAAGGCATTTCTGGGTGTCACCTGACTGAGCATATCCTGAGATCAGGGAATTGTATGTTATTACATCTGGATTATATCCCTTGTCAGTCATTTGGAGAAACAAATCCTCAGCTTCCTTTACCCTCCCATTTCTTCCCAGTCCATTTATCAGCGTATTGTACGTCACAAGAGTTGCATCTATTCCATTTTTTATCATTTCATCAAAAAATCTGAAGGCATCTTTCATTTTACTCAATGAGCAACTAGCTTCGATGAGCATATTATATATTTCTGCATTTGGAGAAACCCCACGACCTATCATATCCACAAGCACAATCTCAGCATCAAGAAGCTTACAATCTTTGCACAGACAATTTATTAGAGAACCATAACTTATGACATTAGGCTGTATCCCAGTCTTCTCCATCTCCTCAAGAATCTCAAAACACCTAACAAAATGGCGAATCCGGCCATAACAATCAATCAACGTGTTATAAGTCTCCACAGTGGGGGAAACACCCTTCTCAATCATCTTCTTAACCCATGTCTCTACCTGGTCCACCTCCCCAGTTTCACAGAGTTTGTTAATAAGGGTATTAAAGGTGACACTACTAGGCTTCAACCCTCGTTCTTCCATTAGTTCAGTTGTCTGTATAGCTTTCTCCATGTCACCCTCTTGGCAATACGCATTCACCAATATGTTATATGAAATCTTGCTTGGACTTACTCCATTATCCACTAACTTGGCTAAAACCTCCTTGGCCTTTTCAACCCTTCCAACCCTGCAAAGTCCATTCAACAAAATACAATAGGTACGCTCGTCAATCCTCATTCCTTGTCTATCCACCGATCCATTATCACTTGCACACTTTGAATGATCATCAAACACAACACTCAAAAACCCACCAGGCAAAAAACCATTCCCCTCCATCTCCAGCAAAATCTTCTTCGCATCTTCCACCCTCCCTGAACCACAGAGACCATTTAACAAGCAATTGTAGGTGATAACATTAGGCTCCACATTTTGTTCCTTCATCCTCTCCTTAAAGCGAAAAGCTTCCCCTATGTCACCCACCTTACAATACCCATCAATAAGCGTATTATACGTAACCGTATTGGGAACCCGGTTTCTCTGAATCATTTCATCGAACAGGTTCCGAGCATCCCTGATCCTTCTCACTTTACACAACCCACCCAACACCAAGTTATACACGAAAACAGAGGGACACATCCCTTCTTTTTCCATGGAACTCATCAACTCAAAACCCTTATCAAGGTCCTTCAACATCACCGCAGCCTGAACAGCTTTGCCGTAAGAGACAGAATCGAGTCGAACACCGGAATCCACAACGTCAGCGAAGAGAGTGAGGGTTTTCTCGAAGTGTCGGGAAGCGACCAGAGTTCGTAGCAAACGGTTGATAGAGCGCGTGGAAGGGAGAAAACCATCTTTTCGCATGGAAGAGTAAAGCTCGGTAGCTTCGTTGAGCATTTTGGAAACGGAGCAAAGCCATAAGAGGGTGTCGGAAAATAAGGGTTTGGAGACGAGCGCGTGAAATTGAGAGAGAGAAGAGAAGAGGGTTTTGGAGAGAAGAAGGGATTTGAGGAACCTTCGAGCGGTTATTGTGTGACCCCTGCTTAGTAATGTCTGAAGCTTTTGAACCTTTTGAAGACGTTTCTGTTGTTGGAGATTTGCTTCGCATAGTGTGAGTGATTGCGAACATAAGAAGGAAATGGAATTGTTGAAGTGCGAATTGGGAAGAAGACGAAGATGAAGAGCATAGTGTCTTCCCAACCACATTGCCACTTCGTAGGTGTACTCTGCAATTCACATAATAACATTACTTCTTACTAGCTTCGAAGCTCATGCAACGCTTGATGGGTGATCCAAGATGGTGGGCTGCTCCTTTAGGCCCAATTCATTACAGTACCCATGCGGCCCAATTTATTTCTTGAAATTATTTTTATAGCGCTGAGAAAAAATTCAACTACACGGGTTATAATAATAATAAGTGAGATCCTTTTATATTAAGTGAAATTCACTCTATGAATTTATATTTTACTATATGAAAATAAAATAAAATTCAAGTCATGGTTAGCCCTTGTAGCTGGATTAACGCCCACTAGATGCATGTTCTGTTAGTGAGATGGGATGGAATGTTAATTTAAGGTGAAAATGGAGAGGAGTATAATTTCTACAAAAGGTTATGTTGAAAACTATCAAATTAGGTTATTGAAATAGAATGATTTGATAAAATTAGTTATTGAGCTAGATAATAAATATAAAATAATAGAACAATAAATATTCATATGATATTAATTATTATTTATTTTATATAAGAATATACTTTTATGAAATTTTAATTTTAGGGTTTTTGGTTAATTTTTAACTATTACTATTTCTTATTTAAAGATAAACTATTTTATTTATGAGTAAATTAAAAAAATATAATAAGTAAGATAGTTAGTATAATATCAAAGGAAGATTTTTATTAAAATAGTGTAACATTATAAAAATAAATATATTTTATTAAAATATTAGGGTAATAATTGAAAAACAGTAACAAGTTACTGCCTGTTACAACATCAAAACCATTACAAGTTAGTAAGATAAACTTATTTATTAAATATTTTTTCCTTAACCCTCCCTTTCTTATCTGTATATCTCATTGTTACATATATTTTTCCTTTATATTTTTCATTTTAAAAAAGAAGAGTATCTATGTTATATTTACATTTTTTAAAAATGAAAAATAAGGGAGAGCTGTAAAAAATTGTGATAGCATGATGTATGACTTGTATTAGTCCTAGTTTCTCTTAACATTCCCAAAGTCAAAGTCTTGTCTATTACCATATTTGGTAGCTTTGGCCCATACAAATAAAAGGAACTTGCAAGGACCTTCAACTTGAATCTCTATCTAACAATTTCATGTCTTTTTTGTTTCATCATATAAATCAAATCAATCAAATTGTGACTTTCTTTGGTGTAACAATAACTTTGCTGTTTCTATTGGGAAATCTGTGTCGAGCACTTCTGAAGGCATATCTCTGCCCCCATACAGTCTTGCATGTCAAATTTGACGAACACTTGGGAGACACAAAAGAAGATACAAAATAGAACTTTGTGTATTTTATCCCATTTCTTGAAGCTGCTTATTTCTTCAGACAAATACAATGTAAAGAAAAGTTTAAAAAATTTAAGAGAGAGAGCTACAAAAATCTTATAAACAATCCATCCAATCAAAGAAGTTTGGTCCCCCTGAGGATCGACGCCAGTAGCTTGCTGCGTTCTTGTTCTGTATACTTTTCTTCCATGAGAAAAACTTGAGTAATTTCCTTATATATCTTTGCATAATATTCACAAGAAAACTAATTCTTTAGAGTCACTGACTCCGATTACGCAAAACCTTAAAGAATGACCACCCTTTGTTTTATGCTAACAATCTGTAATTTTCCAGAACTATGCTGAAAACACTATAATACAAAGCTGTGATATCGAAGGCACAGTAGCTGAAAAGGCCCAATGAAGAAAAGCCAAGTCCTTCTAGGAGTTGGATACAAAAGTGCCCACATATCCAAATGCCATAATGAAGAAGGCAAATGCCTGGATAAAGAGGTAGATGAAGAAGTGGTTTTTCCCGAACATAAAATCATAGCAGCCACAAAAGAAGAGGTAGAATCCAACACCAAGTTCTAACAAGTGAATCCTAATGTCATTTGAAGACAGACAACAAATGTTGGTAAGCACCCCAATATCATATAACATTTACTATTTAGAAATAAGTGAATGCCAACTGGATCAAGAAAACCGTTTATACCTGTCTCCAATCCTGAATCGAGGCTTTTTAGGTGCTTTAATTCCTGCTTTAGCCTTGAGAGCATCTCCAAGTTTTTCAGTGACAATCCATTCATTGACTCGACTAGCCTCGAGTAGACCGATAATCGTTGCCTTGGTTCTATGCAGAGACATGCCATTCTCAAAGAGAATCCAGAAGACAAGTAAATGGAGTGACCTGAAACATAGAAAACACAGAATAAAATCAATAAAGTTTTACTTGTTAAACAAGTTAAGGAAACTTTGGCTTTGGGATTTGACTATAGTGGAAAACTGGGCAAAGGAAAACAGACCTTGGAGTTCCAACTGCATTTAGAAGGGTGATGACGGAAGGAATATAAACAGCTCCCCACTTTGGAACCGCAACCTCAGGCACCAAAACTGTTGCAGGTAATACAATGCAATAAAACACAAAAGTGTTGATGTGTGCTACGACCTTTCGAACAAAGAAGAAGCTGTAAATCACGTATATCTTTTTCCACAATGACACTTTCTGCAATGGACATACATATGAAATTGGAGCATAAGTAACCGATATAGTTTATATACTTTATATTCCTGATAATTCAATGAAACAATCTTACCTTGTTATTGATAATCTCCATGACCATTTTCCTGAAAAGATTTGCTGGCCCACACGACCAACGGTGCTGTTGGTAGCGGTATGCCTTGAAAGTACTTGGCAGTTCATTTTTAACCTGTAGTCAAATAAATAGCTCATATATCAGAAACAAATTGGTAACACACACATACATGAAAAAGAACATTATGTCCTTCCCTCTTCTTTCCTTCACCATTTCCACTTGAGATGGTCCCTTTATTAATGTCCTTTCCCCTTCTTCATTAAGTATTACTTAGTGAAAGTGAACACCAGAAGATGATTTAAACATGAATTCTCACAACCATGTAATTTTGGTAACATGTAAATGGATGGGCCTCTTTGACATGGATTGAAATATAACAATTTAACTCTTAGAAAGCGATGATAATTATAAAGTAAGAAAATAAGTTTACAATATAAGTCAATTCAAATCACCCACCATAACTATTTACTTTTTTACTTAAAATATTTCATCACTCGAGAGGCTAAATCCCAATTCCCAAAAATAATAACAAACCTTCAAGTCAGACAAGTATAGGAATTTCCATCCTTTGAGACTGGCTCGCACAGCCAAGTCCATATCTTCCACAGTGGTTCTATCCTTCCACCCACCAGCTTCATTCAGTGCCGAAATTCTCCATACTCCCGCAGTCCCTAAGGTCATTTACAAGAGTACAAAAATTAGGCTAAATCATCGTGCCACAAAAAAAAAGAGAGCTACCTTCTACTATTGGCATTTTTTTCTTTAAAAGGAAAAATGGACATATTAAACTTAAATTTTAATTTAATTGTATTAAGGTAAAAATATTTGCCATAACATTACCGTTGAAACCAAAGAAGGCGTAAGTGGAAGACCCCACTTCTTGTTCCACAGTAAAATGGTAATCTAGCGACATCTCTTGCATTCTGGTCATCAAACATTCATCGGCATTCACTGGAATCACAAATAAAATCAAATAAATAATAAAAAATTATTGTCCCATCAACAACCTAGCTGTCATGAAATTTGCAATAACATTACGTAATTGTATTGATTTTTCAGGAGAAGAGAGTTCAAAATAAATCCAGCTGTCGGTTAGTAGAGGTAGACAGTGACTACGAAACGAGGTCCACCATTAAATTTGCACATGCAACTGCCGGAGGAAGCAGTAGACAAATGAAGGGAAAAAAGGAAGATGAAGCAGCACAATAAGAACAATGATGACAACAACCACCACAATAATAACAACAACGGTGTTCTTCTCACAAGACAGAAATACCCTTTCAAATGTACATACACACTGGTTTCAAGTATTGCCCTCCTTTGCGGTAGCAGAAATCAACAATAATAATATTTACTTGCTAAAAACAAAATACGGACTCTGCACAAAAAAACTGCTAATGCACATGCGCGAACCGAAACTACTCTTTGGTTTTGTGGAGGGTGGCCCTTCACCCCTACACGTTTTAGAGTTTAGCATTCTTGAAAGTCACCCATAGAATTCAACAATATCATCTTCATTTTATCTTCCCTTTTCTTTTATTGTATGATCACATGCTTGGGAATACAATTTCTTAGAAAAAGATTTTTTGTTTTGTTGAAATAAATGTTCTTCTGCTCAATTATATGTACGGCTGTTTTGCAACTTATGCTTCAATAGAAACACCAGTAAATGCCCGTAAAATTATTAATTAAGAAATTAATATTTTTTAAAAAAAGTGTTACTATTTTTTTTTATGATTTTCAATACACGACTCATACTTTAATCCTGTTTATGCAATTATTATGATTTCATGAAAGTTACAAATAGCATGTTGTAAACTAAACGGGGGAATAGTACTCGTATAACAAAAGAGATGTCCAATAATAACCTTTGAGACTCAGATTATACAAATGCTTCGGAATGAAAAATTTCTGTGTTTGTTGAATCAGATTCAATTAAGACTTTCTTAGTTACTTACTAATATCACACCCAGTTTTCAAAGTAACCGCATATCCAGAATGATCCACTTTACCTCCAAATTTAATAATCCGTTTCCAAATTAAGCAGTGGTCCAGTGTTTATCTGACTTTTCGGCCACACAGTGACACAACCAAACCCTATTCTGCTATAAATGAATTCATTAGGCAGATCAATATACGTGAAACCCATTATTATTATATGATGGTTAATCATCTTACAGTTCGTTGATGACTTTTCATGCCAGACTGTCCCAAAAATAAAGAGGTTTACTAATCTGCCACTCAACATTTTTCCAAACAGAGGAAATGTATCTAAAAAAAATAAAAAGGAGAAATAACACTTATTATTCTCTGTGGTCAGCATTATAGTTTTTGGAGGACAGTAGAAAGAGTGGGTCCCACTAACACAAAGAAGTGAAAAAGAACGATAAGAAATGAATACGTGGCTTAAATCGAAGGCAACCACGAGAGTTGAAGTTGTGGTAGACTGTGATGTTTACATGGTCGTTCAACCACAAAGTGGGACCTACCTACCCCAACATTTCCAAAACTAAAAGGACTCACCGACAGTTTTTGAAAACAAGTTCTGATTTTACTTCAGAACTCGCTATCTAATTCTAATTTAAGACACCTGAACTTGATTAATCCAAAGAAAGCCACAATCAAGGAGACCCAAAATCTAAATTAAGGAAGTGTTGCTGTTATTGTTGTTGTAGATTTTTGACGTTGAATGTGGAGAGTTTATAATAATAATAATAATAATAATAATAATAATATAATAATAATAATAATAATAATAACAACAACAATAATAATAAAAGAGATTACCAAATTTCCACCGAGCCTGAATGAGGCCTAGTTCAGGATTGTGCACTAAGAATGGAACGGTGCGCCACAAGAAATCAGGTTCTGGTTGAAAATCAGCATCAAAGATGGCAACACAATCACATTGTTTCACGTAGCTGCGTTTCATGCCTTCTTTGAGAGCACCGGCTTTGTATCCATTCCTATTGTCCCTCACCTCATACTTTATGTTCACCCCTTTGCTTGCCCATCTTTGGCATTCAAGCTGCACCAACTCCTGCATTTGTTCATTACCAAAAACTCATAATCACATCATCAATGTATGTCCAATTCAGGCCTCGTTATTATTCCTAGGATAATAATAATACTAACAATAACAATAGCATCATTCGAGGTTTTTCTGTCCGCGGAACATTCTTAACCGTGCTAACCTTGATTGTTGGGTCAGTTGAGTCATCAAGAACTTGTATGATAATCCTATCTGAAGGCCAAGAAAGCCCACATGCAGCTCCAATTGATAGCTGATAAACCTGCACTTGGAAGCAAGGGAAACTCAAGATCGAGGCTCAAAAGTGTTGTGCTTAACACAAACTTCACATAACAAAACGAGCTATGAAAAAAAAAAAGCACCTCTCTTTCGTTGTACATAGGGACTTGAACCAAGACCATTGGATAACAAGAGTTCCCCAACTCTATGTCGTCCTTTATTGGCTCCCACTTGTAACGTTTCTCTGGCTTTCTCCCAAACAATTTCACCAGAGTGATGACAATGCCCATGTAAACCCTCTCAATGAACATCATCACCGACATGACCAAGCACAGAAACACTGATATTCTTAGTAACGGGACAATCAATGGAGCTTTGATCTGACTCCAAACCAATGCAAGCTGCATGGTAAGGTCATCTTTGGCACCTTGAAATGCATCGGGGATAATGGCATTAGAAGAAAGGCGATCCATTTGAAGCGTTTTTTTTTTACTGTGTACTGAGATTGAATGTCAGAAAAACAAAAGAGACTTAGCAGTGGGAATGCAAGCCAAGCTGTGAATGATGGTAGATCGAAAAGGCTTTAAAAGAATAAACTTTGGTGGAATATTTTTTTTGGTGATTGTTATTTTGCTTCTGGGCCACGCAAAACAAAGGAAGCAGAGCTGGAATGTCAGTGACTCTAGCTCAAACAACACAAACACCCCCCATAAAGAAAGCTAGAGAGAAAAGAAAAAACAAGCTAGATCTCAAAACACATAACTTTTTTGCTTTTTCACTAGGCCAACCAGGCTCTATATGTACAAAAACGTGCTTCTCCTGAAATGAGAGACCACAACACTTGTGCAAAAAGTCAAATATCCCGTTCTGCTTCAGCAATCAAACCCAAAAAAAGAAGCAGAACACCACATACACAAAATGCAACGACGAAGACAAATAAAAATAAAAACAAAAGAAAAGACAGGAAATGAAAGACGGGCTAAGGAGGAAGAAATGGGAGAGAATGTTTTATTTTGTTTTTAGGAACTCTCTAAGTGTGTGCTTTGCATTCTCTCTCTTGATTGCTTTTTATAATGTGTTTAGCCTCCCAATGCCTTAGGTCTCACTCTCTGCTTAGGAACTCTGTAATATTTAGTACTAAGTTGCAACCATAACCACAAGTGTGCGGCTTATATAAAATGCGCAACAGCAATGCAGCATGGTATTGGTAAGGTAGGGTGGGCATATCAATATCAAAATATAAAAATATGGAAATTGCATACTTAAAATACGTTCGTTATAATCATTTGCCTTATTTTTCCCGGCACATGTGACTGACCTTCGCCTAATACCAATGCTAATTGTTCATAATTTCTTTTTATTTTTTAATCGTAACTCTTTTATCTATTATTTGTTTTCTCTCCTCTCTTTCTTTTTAACTCGGCCTGGCCCACACCATATTTTGGAAGTGTTATGTGAGTCAAAGTTTATATACCACTTAATGATGGACATTAATGTAAGTGAGAATTATAATTGAATTAATTTTGATATATTCTCGGTATCGAAGGGTTTTATGCTGTTAGTTAACCATTCATTATCATGTTATTAAAACAACTAAACTTAACAACTATTTCAAGTCGTTTCTTTTGATCATATAATATATAATTTAAGATTCAATGATATGTAAAAATAAAATAAAATTACGTTGACAATACTTAAAATCAAACTCAATTATATATATTTTTGAAATGTAATGTTGACATTTTTTTATTTATTATTAGGTCTTTACCATATTACAAGTTTTTCGATAACCAAATGGCATTAATTTTTAAATGTAATTAACATGTTTTTAACATTTATATATAATTAAATAATATCAGTGTTTTAAGCATATTCAGATATAAGCAGAATATGAATTAATAAAAATATTTTAATTTATTTCAACATCTTATTAACATACCAGTTTTGTAACACATCAAAATTATTCCACTTCAGTGGTGGTTAAATATATGGGTCAAATGATGTTATTTTTCTTGCAGTGTCACTAGTTTTTCATTTGATTTTCTATTTACAATTTTATCAATAATTTTTTTTTTCTATTTAGCCTCTCTGTTGATCTTTACAATTTTTTAAATATCATAAATTCTTATTTAATTTAATAATTTGTAGCGTTAGACAGACGCTTGAAGAACAAATAATTAAGATTTAAATATAGACTACATGGAAAAAAATTTGTAGGAAAAGAAAAAAATCATAATGTTCTAAAATAATCAAAGCATAAATTAACCTTTAATACGTAGTCTCGCAATTTATTAATTAATATAATTATATATTATAAATTAGTTAATCTTTTTCTTATTTTTTATAGTTACGTCAATTCTATACTGTACGAATATAAATTGCACAACGGTCACGTGATAAATAATATAGTAAAGGATATATATTTTTTCATACCTTATTGTAGGCTTGGAAAATAGGTAAAGAAAAATAAATTTGAAAGAACAAGTTAAAGATACAATAAAATAAAATAAAAACATCAGAAAAAATAGGTGATAAAGAATCACAAGTCAATGATAACGGCAATGCAATATTTTTTACTGTCTGGGTTTCATTTATAATCGACATACTCACTCTTTTTATTTTTTAGACTAAATTACATTTTTTACTTTAATTTATTTTAAAATTTGTTAACTATTTTTCTTAGTTCTTATAGTTTTTAATTATTAATTTTTATAATTTTATTTAATAATTAATAAAAATTAGTGTAATATATAATAAATAAATAAAAACAGTGTCTTTTCCCTTTAATTTAGCATCAATTTCATTTTTCGTTTTTAAACTTTATTTTGATTTTTTAATTTTAAAAATATTTTAAATTAATTTTTTCTTTTTCTAGTACGTGCAAGACTTAAGCTGCAATTGTAACATTTTTAGTGTTCTATATTACCTTGTCTTTTTTTTAAGATAGGTACGATTTAACCTTAAGTAAACTACTGATTTGTATTTGGTTTTGTTCACGGTAAATTTATCCAACTTCATATACTTGATTAAAGAAGTTGACGTTCTTGCTACCAGGAGAAATGGAGTACACACTCGATGAAGATGATGATAATTGATAAACAGTGTATATTAGTACATTGATTGAATAAAAACAAAATTGTTAATATTTCTAATAAAAAAGAACTTATTTAAAATATTTTTAAAAATTAAAAAATCAAAATGAATTAAAACAAAATTAAAAGATGAAATCAATCTTTACTCTTAAGTTGAAAAAAAAACACTAATTTTATTTAAATAAAACATATATCAATTATATGCAAGAAGTTAACAAAGGCAGTGCTTCAAAAGTTTGATTTGGAGCATTAGTTTTTTTTAATTATTTTTTCCCTCATTAATGTATACAAGTGGATTTTTATTTATTTATATTAAACAGGTAAAAGTTCCGAACAAATTAAAAACTATGCAATGATTGTAGAAAAAGTTATCAATAAACATCCTCTAATATGAGGGGATAAGAGAAATCCCCTTGATATAGGGCATTGGCTAAGTGATCATCACGCCTGTTTGCCTCTCAGAAAACATGATATTGAAGGACCGTCAATGGCTGATGCAATGGGTGCTGAGCCAGTGAACCTCTCTAATAAGACCATAACAGTGATGGGAAAATGATCACTCTAAATACACCAAAGACAAAGGGTATATATAACTTAATATTTCAGAATATTTTTTATTGAGAGTTCCTTCCTTTGCTCCATCAAAAGAAGTTTTAAATTAAGAGTATGATTAATTTGGATGATAAAGACTAGATTTGTGTTTCATAAGTTCAAATTTCATTGTAAACATAAGATCTTAATTAGACATGTTTTTTATTAAAAAAAATTAGTGTGTGATTGAATTAGTTTTTTAAAGAAAATAATTATTTACGCTTTAACTTCTTAGAAAACTATTGTTCTTTTTTAAAATTTACTTTTAAGAAGTTTATAATAATTATTTTTCAGTTTTAATTGTATTGTTGTCTCTTTAAATTGGATAAATTTTAATTTTTGTCCTTAAAATTTTTTTAGTTAGCATGTTCCTTTTTTAAAAACAATATACCAAAATGTTCATTTAAAATTCTCATGTTATTTATTTTATCTAAACATTTGAGAGCTTATTATGAATATAGGGTATGAAATAATTTTAAAATTTTACAAGTAAAAAATTGATCAAATTTAGCAGAATTTCTTGAATAAAAGATTGAATAATTTTAATGTATCGATATTTTAATTTTAAAAAGGAGAATAGGAGACTTTAGGTTAAAATATGTAACGAGATAAAAAGAGTTAATTTGAAAAGAAGAAAGAGACTTATTCAACATTACATTATCTAAATTAGAGGGAGAAAAATTATAACTAGACCTATTTATTTATTTTTCAAAAAAATATTGATTCAACCATATACAACCTTTTCTTTTTTAAAGTGAGATTTCTAGGCCAATAAATTGAAGGAAGATAGTCGCATTGCACCTTGTTTGAATCTTATAATAAAATATTTATAATCCAATATTTGTTACACCAGGAACAATAATTAAAATAATTTTATATGTATTGACTTTTTTCGTTCTTGAAAAGTCTAAGTTATGTACCAAGCTAATTTCTTGAAACTTGTTAAGCGTGGGTCATTAACTCATTTTGCATCTTAAAATTATTGTGTAAAATTACAAATGAAATGAAAATAATTGTTATGACTACTTAATAATTTTCAATTAAACAAGTCCTGTTATTTTCTGTGAGTTAATCGTAAAACAAATAGTTAACAGAAAATTATTTTTAATACAAAATAATTAGAAGCAGTGTGTCGATGAGTATACACAAACAACGAAGTGGGATGAGTTAAAAATTAAAAACTTTTAATTCAATTCTTAAATAATTAAATTTACCCACCTATATTTATACTCGTTATATCATATTTATTCATACTAAATTGCAGCTCTGCATCATACGGGTAAGCCGTAAAAAATTTCATTATATTACGATAAATGTTAAACATTTAATTGAAAAATGTATTTTATTACTTGAAAGCAAATAAATAACGTTTGGTTTCTGTCTGTAAGCCATTAATTACAAAACCCCCAGAAATAAACAAATAAAAGTAAAGTACGTTATTAGTCAATTAAATACCGAACAAGATATTTCCAAGGGTAACGTATTCGAGTACATGTTGAAAGTTATGAGAAGTAGCTGTTTGAAAAACATATATTGGCATCAAATTTAATGCAAATTCATTATTTAAATTTTAATTTTGACAATATATAGATATATATAATTCCAAAAACAACTAAAGGTGTCTATTTCTAATAATTTTAAAACATTTTCCAATTAAACGAAAAATATATTTCGATACAATCACTTTAACACTCAATTTTAAGCTAAATAACTCTTTAGTTTATTTATTTTTCATTTCCCTTGAATCATAAACTTTTACATTATTCAATAATCTAGCTTATTTAGTCTTTGTTTAATTTGAAGTTAAATAAATTAATTTTGAACCATTACATATAATTTAAAATAAATTTTATATATACTTCAAATATAAAAAGGAAAATACTATCACCTAATTGTAAATAATTGTATAAAATATCATCATTAATTTTTATAATAATTAATATAAAATTTATATTCGTAAGGTATTATAATCAATTAATAGTGTAAATTATACTAATGATATACTAAAATTAAATTATCCTAAGAATCAAATAAGCCTTTAATAATTGTATAATAATTTGACGTGAATAAACAATTATAGAAAATATTTATATTGGTTTTAAATTAAATTATTTTAGTCTGACAAGATTGACAACACTCATTCTGTCTCTTCAATCTATTTACATGCTTTAGGATTGTAAAGGGTTGGAATCTGAAGGCGACGAATCTATGACTTGACCCCATGAGGTAATTTAACAAAAATGTTACGAAGACAATTGTTTTTTTCATGTGAAAATAAAATATCAATAAGAAGACACAAAATTTTAATATATATAAGTAAAATAGTTGCATATATTTTATTTATCTTTTATTATGTAATTTCATATTCTAAAATCATTAAGTGATTACCTTATTGTCAATGCAATCGAATGCATTTT